CCCCCAAGAGGTTACTTTTTTTCTCAGAGGGGAAAATTGTTACTTAAATGCGTTTAATTTAAGAATAGTGTTCAACGAGGAGGCAGAGGCATGAAATGAAAATATGAAACGTTGTTGACTTGGAACTGAATAAATTCCGACTTTTAGCGGCAAATTTCTTTTAATAGCGTACATTAAGACGGTGCGCAAGACGCCAAAGGGTGGAAAAAGCCTTATCACCGTCACATAATCATTACTTCTTGTTAAAATCAAATCAAATTGGGCGAGCCTGGCGAGAACGCGCGAGCGAGGGGCCGAGGAAAGGAGAGCTTGCAACGATCTCTCATAAATTTCATTTCCACCCCGGAAACGTGCCGCAAATTAGAAAAGTGACAACTGCCTGTCAAGTTTAGACAGCCGAGGGCGCATAGAATTATTTATTTATAAATCGCTTAGCCTGTTCCAGGCGTTCAGATAGTGGGGAGCGGTGCGAAGTAAAAAGGAGCGCGAAAAAATAAAAGCGAGGGAGGAGGAGAGGAGAGAGAGTCCCCCTCTACTTTTCATCGCTTTCTTTACTTCGCACCGCTCTCCATTATCTGAACGCTTGGAACAGGCTATAAATCGCTATGCAATAGCATCAAAGCAATGTTTTTAATCACTGATATTTTTTTTTTCCACGGGGACATCGAACTTCAACGTGTCCGCTCGGGTGAGAACTTAATACTTTGATTCTCGTTTCGTTTACTTTTGAAAAGTCGTCCATACTGCAGTGTAGAAGACCGACTGCCCTTCGCAATCACTAACAAACTAAACTAACTAAATCAAACCAGCCCCCTCGTCTGCGTTGAGGGCTGAAACACGTTCTTGGTACCAATCTGATCCCCCTGAGAACCAAACTTGTCACACAGACGAAGAGGGTGCCAGCTTTGCCTGTTATCGATATCAATCAACTTTGTTTTCCGGAACGTCATTTTTCAGCCAATGGTATTTCCCTTCGTTTGAGCGAAGTACAAATGAAATTTTATGAGAGATCGTTGCAAGCTCTCCTTTCCTCTGCCCCTCGCGGCTTCGCCGCTCGCTCGCGCGTTCTCGCGAGACTCGCTTTTCTCGCCCAAATAGGAGAGCTTGCTCGCAGGCTATGGAGAATGATGCCCATCGAGGAGGGTGTTATCGACCGAGGTTAGCTCGATTCTTCATATCATAAGAAAACCGAATTCAACAATTATTTTATTATCCATTCAAATTATTTTTAAATTGTTAACACTCTTACCTCCTCGCAGTCGTTCTTCAAAACATTCCCCTGTTTTCGGCACAATTTCATAATAAATAATCTTTTTGCAGTTACTTCTCAAAAAGTAAATGATATTCATCAGAAAGATTTTTCGCATTTTCTTGCGTTTGCTCCGTTCAGTTTAGTCAGAGTTATTCGGCTTTTTCTTTTCGGATAGCCGTGAACGTTTCTGCCATTTTGGTGAGTTCACTAATACCAAAACAGCTAGGCTGCCGTGCCACCGCCAGGAAACGAGGCTGTGATTTTATATTGTGCAATACTCCGATTCCAGACAAAATCGGAAGTTGCATGGAAGTGAGGCTTAATAACCCTCGCGGCAAATTTAAAATAACTAACATGGCGGACGATCAAGTCGATTTTACTCCAGAGGACATTCCTGGTGCTAGCTTTCGTGCATGAAGAAGAGATAAAAAAGTGGGCCGTTGCTCAACTAAAGTTTTGGATAAAATGCCTCCGTATAAATCAAAATGGTAATAAGAAGGAACCGTTGGAAAGGTAGGTGTACATCATCCGGCTTCCGCGATCGATCAGCTGTTTATGTTGTTTATACTAATAGTTTACATAGCGGTTTAGACACATGTTTTCATATAGAATTTGTTTTATCACGGTCAAGAACCTGCAAGCAATGAAAAATCTAAGAATATATGAACGTGACCCAGGGAGGAGCTTCATTAAAACAAAGTCAGCGAGATAGTGAAGAACTGAAGGAAAATGGAGAAACCGCGAGTGGTGATGCAGCAAGAACTTTTCCACCGTTGATTCAGCAGTTGGTGATGATTTTACCGTCCTTTCCACGTTCGTTCCGACTGATACATTAGAACACCAAAAGAACTGTGGAAAGAACACCAGGAAATCTGCTGATGCCATTGCCGAGTTTGCAAGTTCTAAAGGAATCAGAATTCTGTCATTTTTGTTCACAACCTCCAAGTGTTTGCGAGTCCAAATTTCGAGGATGATGTTATATACCTTAGAACGCTTCGCTGGGCTTCCTGTAGAAAATCTGAAAGATATATCATATATGAGTTATTAGCTTATCCCAGGCTCAGAGATGACCTATGTAGGTACAACCATACGAAGCTTCTCCAACTATTGTGTCAAGTAACTTGATACTATCCTTATCGGGGATCACTTTCGGAAATGGAACAGCAGGATTTACTTCTATTTTGTTTCAATCTTTCTTTTTTTTTAATGGTTTTGGATCGAACAGCGTGTGATTGACACCTCGCCGCTGTCTTTCGTAAATGTCTGCGAAATAGCGGGGTTTAAGAAGTACGTTTTTCTGTCATGATTGGCTTATGTTGTACTGTCCTCTTTCCTGGTAGTCCCCATTTCGTAAGTTTGGAGGTACAGCTACGGTTATCAGTAGGTTGAACTTCCTTGTTTCTGCATATTTTATCCAGTCTCCAGATTACCACCATCACATGGCAGCAACGACCACTTTTCCGACTGAGCATATTTTGACACACTCAGCAGCTTGAATTTTGGGTTTGGAGGCCCAGCAAAGTGCTCTAAGGTAATTAACATCATCCTTGGTAACAGCATCAGCAGATTTCCTGATGTTCTTTCCACAGTTCTTTAGGTGTTCTAATGTATCAGTCAGAACGAACGTGGAAAGGACGGTAAAATCATCACCAAACTGCTGAATCAACGGTGGGAAAGTTCTGAAGCGGTTTGCTCCATATCACTCGCGGTTTCCCCATTTTCCCTCAGTTCTAAAACTTTGCTAACTTTGCTTTAGTGAAGCTCCTCTCTGGGTCAGGATCATATATTTGTAGATTTTCATTGCTTGGAGGTTCTTGACCCTGAGGAAGCAAATTTTGTATGCAACATGCAACATCCGGTTTTTTCTGGAATCAGAGTATTACCATTGAACCAATGATTTTATTGCCTATTTCGTCCATATATGGTAAGCGCTGGCTGGTTATGAAGAACTAGACGGGGAATGAGAGCCAATCAGAAACGGAGAAATATATTTAATGAATAATAACCTTATTTTCATGCTGACCTGCAAGTCCGCAATCTCGTTGCCAGAGGCTGCCATCATTTTGGTCAGCACCAAGGATCACTAACATAAGAAGAATCCGGAAAACAAAACATCTCTGATTGGCCGTTAAAAACGTGTTCGTTAGTTGCATATTACTTTGCAAATTAAAAATCTGTAAGGACGTTGGTTTGATTTGGCAGATCATCTATGTACACACCAATCTTCTACGAATTGAAACCATTAAGAAAAAAAACTTTACGTCGATATAAAGTCACTAAACCATGCTTAAATAACATTTTGTTTAAGAATTTGTTTTCTCTTATTTTTGAAGTCATTCAATGCCACATTTAGAGAGATTTTATTCTAGGCCTATGTACAAAAATCCCGAAAAATGGGCTAAAAATCTATCCGGAAATTCTGCAAAAAGTGTTTATAAATCCTAATGTTATCCCTAAAAATCTCGAAATTTATTCTAAAAATCACGGTTTATCCCAATTTTTTTCCAAATAATCACATAATTTGCATAATATGCAGGATTCTTGTGATCTGTGGTCAAAATGCAAGCTAAAACACCTTAAAACTGATTCAAAATGACAATTCATTTTTTAGACAATGTAAGTGGTTCGTCTCGTTTCCATAGTGCTCTTTCAAACAAACGATAACGACAATAAGCACTTAGTGAGTTTGGACCAGGCCTTTCAATGATGCTAACAAGGCATGAACATAACTGACCAGTAGTATTTGAATGGCAAGAGCCCGCTTGGAGTTTCTGGTGTGTTAGAACCACCCAAATTTGTTTTTGTGCTATCGGCTGTATTTTTCCAGACCTTATCGTCCCAAGAACCTAAAATTTTCTAAAAATCTCATTTGACTCTAAGAATCCTAAGAAAACTGGAAATTGTATCTAGGCCTATTTTATACAGTATATGTTACTGAACTTTCCAAATTTGCATATAGCTGTGGTCATATTGTGAGGACGAAAGAACGTTTTTCGTCATGAAAACAAAATTCCCCTGGCAACTTCTCTTGGTCCAATGGGTAAACAATTTCACGAATGGGGCAATTAAACCGGAACCAGGATTTTATGGTTCCGGTTTTCAGTTCTTTCACAAAGCGTCTGTTGCCCTTTCCGCTGGATAATGGTAACGCAGGCTCTGGGGACGACGTTGACAAGGCCCAGTAGTCTCTCTTTGGATTACACGCGTAGAACAGAACGTCGTTGCGCTGCAATACACGACGCTTCTCCCGGTAATATTAATAGGACTCTGAGAGACGACTGGGTACGAGTCAGCGCAAGTCCCTCAGGCGCATCAATCAAACTGAGCGAGTAGCCACATCTAACGTCTCTAATGTGATTCGCTCCTCTTAACTTTCAATTTGTAGCTATGACCCTTAACGAGAAAAATATCATTACCTGGTAATCAAAAAGTGGTAGAGTGAAGTTCCTGAAGACTCGGTTCGATATTTTGGTTCTTACAGGCAGTCATGACCTTATGCCTTTCCAACTTACCCAAATGCCCAATACGGTAGTGGGTGCGCTTTCTTTCTGGCAATGTGTTTGTTTTTACCTTATAAAACTAAGAGGTGGTATGTTCGGTCTTCGAGAATCGATTTGGGGAGCAAGCGATATATTGATAACAGCTATATTTAGATGAAAACCGGAAATCGTACAATTGTTAATATATTTTTTTTCGTTCCCTTGACAGTTGCTTATTGTAGCTTCCTCTGTTTCGTCTTTGCAAAACGATGAAATTCAGCAGCTCATTCAGGACAGGCAGAGTTCTTCCATTTTTTACTATTATTGCTGTCCTTGTTGTCCGGCCTTCACAATCATGGCTTGTTCACGAAGTAGAAAAAAACTCTGCTAACAGGTTAGCAACTTGCCTGTACAAGGTCTTCCAACAAAATACAGGATTTGATATGCTACACAAGCTGTATAAAAATTTTTCTTGTGTTGCTCGAGATACCGACGGCCAGCAATTGCTTCGCAATATAACTAAACACGCCGAGGCCCGAATTAACAATAGTCGAAGGTTTTTGCAGGGCCTGAGAGAAAGGATGCAGCTACCTTCAGCAGATTCTCTTCAAGGAAATGTTACAGGCTGTTGTAGAGAGAATTCGAATGTTTTGCGTATCCAGTTCAATGAACGAGTTCGCTCTTTCGTCGATTTAACGAAAGGCTGTTTCATCAGAGATTCGTCAGGTACCAGTCAGGATAATGTGGAATTCAGCAGTGAGTTATTGGGTTTTTATGAGGGACATTTCAACGAGTCGGAGACAGTGGCATGGCAGTATTACGGTTCTATAGACGGAGAGTATTTGCAGTATCCTGCCAATACCCGCTATTGTGGGAGCAACAGTTTACAATTCGACCCACGATTTAAGTAAGTTCTTTATATTTTTGTGAAACCCTAAACTGTAGGTTGCGTTTCCTGATCACATAAGGTCCCTTCCAAGCGAATCTGGGGCATTCTGGGACAGTATACTTAGTGAACTAGAAAATCGTCCAGTTACAATTGTTCACACAAATTCGCAAATATAATCCGTCGGTTAAAAACAAAACAGTCTGGAGGTTTGGGTGAGCAAATTCACTGGTTTGGTGTGACGAGAGGCCGATTGGTTTAAAACATGTATATATGTGGTATCAAGATATCCTGATTCGAGTGGACGGGGATTGAAATAATACTCAGTTCGCTGTTTTTCCACCTAACCTAATCAGATCAAAGCAATGTTAAAACTATTATTACTAGGGCCCCATCAATACGAATCTGGACACGCTTAAATCAATTCGTAAATATCCGGTTTTCATGATCTAGACAGTTCGCAAGTCCGTCGGATCCAAAAAAACCCATGAAAAACGGACTCACTGGTTTCGAGTGGACAGAGGGCCGATTCGTATGAAAAAATGTGCGGTTTTAAAAATATCCAGATTCATGCGGACGGGGTATAACTGATTAACTCGACACAGTAAAAACTATAAAATCATATTTGGGGCTAAAGACCAATTCCTCGAGTTTCCGTTGGTTCAGTCGTATTGTGCGTTGTTTTTTTAGTCGAATATGGGCTCAGATCCTCCTAAATGGCTGTAGCCAGCATTTTTAATCGAGTCTGTTTTGATTAATGAAACTTAGATCGTGGTACGTGGAAACTGCTTCACCCGTTAAGAAGAATTTAGTAATAATTATTGATCGCAGTGGTTCTATGAGTGGGTTAAGGATGAGGCTGGCTAAGGAAGCCGCATTTACAGTACTGGACACATTATCACCAAAAGACAACGTAAGTATTGTTCATTTCCGAAAACAAGAAGAGTTTATCAGGCCAGCTACTAGACTGAACATTCCCATCTCTAAGGCCCCACTTATATAGACAAAAGTTGTCCCTGAGAGAAGGGTCACCCGCCTACCCAAGCTACCTAAACTATTTGGAAGCCCAGGACCCAAATGCCCTGAGATACAAGTGAAACTGCGTTTAAAGCCCCGGGGAAACGGACGCATCATTGTTGGCCAACATCTTCCAACCTTGTGTGATGTTACATGTTCCGTCTGTTTGCACACCCTGTTGCATGTTGTTGGGAAATGTTGTCCCTGAGAGAAGGGTCACCTGCCTACCCAAGCTACCCTTTCGTATATTTCCTTACAAAACGAGACCTAAGCAACGCAAGTAAATGGAAATTTGATGGAATCCTGATCGAACTATTTGGAAGCCCAGGACCCGAATGCCCTGAGATACAAGTGAAACTGCGTTTAAAGCCCCGTGGAAACGGACTCAACATTGTTGGCCAACATCTTCCAACCTTGTTGGATGTTACATGTTCCGTCTGTTTGCACACCCTGTTGCATGTTGTTGGGAAATGTTGTCCCTGAGAGAAGGGTCACCCGCCTACCCAAGCTACCCTTTCGTATATTTCCTTACAAAATGTGGCGAACTGTTTACATGAGCAACAACAAAAAATTGGCTCGCCTAGAAGGGTGACGGTCACCCTCCTACCTTTACCTACTTTTCTTCATACATAAACACTTTGGCTCGCCCAGCCGGTTGCGAGCGCTGTGTTAGACAATCAGAGCATGCACGAGTGCTTTCTCATATAAACGCTCGCTAAAGTTGACTCGGCTAGGAGGTCGACCCATCTACCCGGGACGCCCCGGGACAGGTTTTCTCCATATAAACGAGACCTAAGCAACGCAAGTAAATGGAAATTTGATGGAATCCTGATCGAACTATTTGGAAGCCCAGGACCCAAATGCCCTGAGATACAAGTGAAACTGCGTTTAAAGCCCCGTGGAAACGGACGCAACATTGTTGGCCAACATCTTCCAACCTTGTTGGATGTTACATGTCCCGTCCGTTTGCACACCCTGTTGCATGTTGTTGGGAAATGCTGCACAAAGTTTGAACCTGTCAGACTTTTGAGCCAACACCTCCCAACATTTCTTTTGTTCCATGATCGCCGAAGCGTAGCGCAGCAATGTTGGATCCGTTTGCACAGCTCATCCTTAACAGCTCATCCAAAATTGTTGGTGCCACGCACGCGCATTACACGTGGTCTCCAAAGTCTTATGGGTTGTATCTTTTCCATAATACACTGTAGTTCCCAGCATTGGTGGAAGTTGTTGCATCCGTTTGCGTCCGTTCGTAACTTAGTAACAGAAAAGCAGTGAAAAGTTCAGTTGAAGTAGAATGGCTTGAAGTAGGATGGCTTGGGTTTGCTCCGGTGTTATTTTACTTTTCAAACTTATTCCAGTACATTCATGAGCATACATTATGCACTGAAAGAGGAGGATTAGAAACAGGTTCTCTCTCACCTGTTTGAAGGCTACTGGCATCTCAAGATAGTGAAATACTTCACAAAAATCGGAAAAAGGACTAGGCAGGTACTAATAATTAACGCAATAACGCCCAGTTTGTTTTGTCTTTATAAAGGTTGGTCTTGTTGCCTTTTCCAGCTACACTGAAACCCCTTCTGGTTGTTTTGGCTCTATAGTCGCAAAAGGAATACCTGCTAATTTGGAGAGACTGAGAGGGTGGCTTGAAAACATCTACGCACTCGGTAGGACGTATGCTTTGATTCATATGCTAACTTTAAGTAGTGTTAGGCGAAGATTCAGTGACGATTTTTTTTACTTTTGTCAGTTAAACTTGAGGGAATCCAAATTTTATACCTTTCACTTTCCATCAGGAAACTAATGACCCTAAAACACTTTTCAAGAAGAATGTAGGAGCCTAGGGTCACGTGACCTAGTTCGCGCAAAGACATCAGTCTTGCACGTACTGTATTTTGTGGCAGTTCGTTCGATTGTCAAAAGCGTCTTTCATCTGCCTGTTTCTCTAGAAATTGGTGGCAACGGTACGGAAACCATGTCTGACAACTACGGAGAAAGAGCGACTGGTTGCTCTCAACAGAGGCCGGAAAAATCTCTTCATAAGTCCGGCGAGAAAAGCGCCACTGGTAGAATTAAAACCAACAGGTCCACATGAAGCCACGAAACCCGCTTCGTTCAACGATCTGGTGAAGGCCATGACTGAAGCCTTCAAACTGTCAGTGGCTAAACCGAGTACAAGTACAGCGATCCAATCGGCCGAAGCACCTCTCTAAATCAACCGAAACCATATTCGCGCGGTAAAAAATTTCATGTTATGGTTATCGGAATTCGAGGAATACTTAAAGCTTGCTGACATTACGGAACAGAAGACGGAAGCGTTTATGATTACTTGATTACTCTGTTGGGGCAGCCGGCCTACAGAGCCCTTCAACTTCTTCGAATCCCAGAGAGCACCTCATATCAAGGGTTCTTAGAACGCATCACGACACGGTTTGACTCAGGAAAATCAACCGGCGCTTGTAAGATGCTAATTCGTGCTCGTCAACAAAAGCAAAGCGTATGCTGAAAAGCTGTTGGGACTGGCAGAAAACGCCTACTCTGATGCCGCCTATCGATTCAAAGAAGAACTTGTGAAACACCGGTTCTTAAAGGAAGTTCCCGTTCGTTGTAGTGATGGATGCCGCGAACAGTTTTTCATGAAGCAACCAGATAGCTTCGCTGTCGCCGTTCGCCTGGTTCCACAGTTGGAAAGAGCTCGCTCTGCTTCACGCAATTCGACACTGTCTAAACCAGCACGGCCGCAGTTGAACTAAGCCGAGAGTGATGAAGATTTTTCTGATGTTGCAACTCAACGCTTGAAAGGTTGGAACAAAGGTACCCCACGCGGCCGCTATTCTTCTCGGGGACTCACCGGAATTTAATGTTATTGTTGACAAAATTAGGGCCATTACGCCCGGGATTGCCCTAATGCTTCGGGAAAAGGACATAGGGCACTACCACGGGTCGATCCTTCCCCTTAAATCATCCAAGGACCCAAAATGTTTCAACGGGAGAAGCGTCCAGGAGAGAGAATTTGTTTGTTTTGAGTGGACTTGGTGTTCGTATTTCTGGACTGATCAATCAGGCTCGGATTTCAGTTCTCCTAGATACTGGCGCTACCTCTAACATCCTCAATGAAGAAACTTGGAAGAAAAGCGGAAATAATCGTTCAGCTAAGCTTCATAAGATGAAACTGACTCCCGACTTGGCTAATGGTGAAGTTTCAGCAATTCAGGGATCGGAAGATCAGTAATATCCTTACGCCTCGGAAATTCTAAATTTTAAGCTGATGTTGATTGTTCGTGACATTCCTCACGCGCGCATTCTTGGATCAGATTTCTTGGAACAAGAGACATGTCGAATTTTGATATGGGAACCTTTGTGGCTAAGAGGGAAGAGCTACCGATCTTTTATCAGAAGAAGGCACCGAGCGTTTACTGTATCATCCTTTCAGAACAAGTTGAGTTCCAACCAGGAACAGGGCTAGTTTTATGCGGAAAGTTAGAACCTGGATTGATGGGACACCCGCAATTTTGGAAGGGATCGAGAAAGAAGCAATGGAAAAGTTTGGTGCTAGATTTTGTGTGGCACAAACATTAACTATTCCAAAGGAGGGTAACATGACTGTTCACCAAGGAAATTTCTCAGAGAAATCCATCACCCTAAAGCCTGGGAAAGGACAATTTCTCGATCCCATTCAAGAATCCTTGTGGATTCAAGTGCTAGTGAGAACAATACGTCTTTCGAGCTAAATCAAAGTCATCAAGGACCAAAGGCTTTCTTGGATGAATCTGTGTGGAAGATAGGTATCCGTGCTGACTACTCAGGCCTTTCGATAGAGCAACAAACTTCATTTGCTGATTTACTAGAGGAATACCAGGATTACCGGAGATGGTGAGCTGGGGCGAACCCATTTGATGGAACACACAATTGACACTGGCTCCGCCGCACCCATTAAACAAGCACCCCGTCGTTTACCACCGTGAAGGATGAAGTTGACCGACAACTCTCTCAGCTCATGAAAAAAGGGAACAGAACCACCCAATACCCCCGGGGGCAGTCCCACTGTTCTGGCCATGAAGTATGATACTTAGATGCTATACAAGAGATTACATTTTAACATAACACAGTTACTGTAAGGGATGCTCAACCTCTTCCGAGGGCGGACGATATTCTGAAATCCTTAGGTGTTGGGGCAAAGTGGTTCAGCTGCCTGAGCCTGTCCTCAGGGTATTTGCATGTCCCCGTTGCCAAGAAAGACTTGCTCAAAACGGCATTCGTCAAGCATCGAGGTCAATTCCAGTGGACCTGTTTACGATTGGGCTAACCAATGGGCCTGGAACGTTTATGTGGCTAATGAACTTAGTGTTACGAGGGCTTAATTGGAAGCACTGCTTGGTTTACTTGGATGATATAATTGTCATACCCAGTGCGTTTGAGGAACACCTATTCCCTCTCCGAGCAGTATTTGAAAGATTACGAGAGGCAGGGTTGAAATTGAAACCGCAGAAGTGTGCCTTCCTTCAGGGAAAGGTCTCCTTTCTTGGTCACGTGGTATCTGCTGTTGGCATCAATACTGATCCAGAGAAGACTAGTGCTATAATTGACTGGCTAACCGGTGATAATACCTCGAAAGTGAAAGGCTTCCTCGGCCTCGTAACATACTATCGTCGATTTATTCCTTGCCTCTCAGAAAAGGCAGAACCTTTGAACTGCTTGACTAGAAAGGGGTCCTGAACAGGAGAGAGCCTTTTGTGAACTTAAGCAGTGCCTCGTTCAACCACCTGTTCTTGTATATCCTGACTGCCGCTTATCTAGTGGTCAGTTTGTTCTGGATAGCGATGCGAGCAGTGGCCATGGTATTGGAGCTGTGCTGTCTCAGAAGCAGTAGATGGTACAGAGCGTGTTGTGGACTATGGAAGTCGAGCATTACACCTCCTTGAAAGGAACTATTGTGCAACTCGACTCGAGATGCTTGTATTATTGGAATTTTTCGACTATTTTAGTTCTATTTGCTTGTTCGTAAGTTTCTCATCCGAACAGACCACTATGCCTTGAAGTGGTTGATGTTGTTTAAACAGCCTGAAAGACAAGTAGCCGGCTGGTTGGAGAGACTCCCAAGAGTACGATTTTGACATTTCGCAACCTCCATATCCACCCAGTGATTACACAAATCAAAGAAGGAAGATCTCCACCCACAGCGTAAGAACAGGAAACCTACAGTCTCCTTACCAGAGCAATATATGCACAGTATCCATTACTGGAACTGTGGGACAATGTGTTGAAGCTAAAGGCTGAGGACAGAGAGAAGCACTAAAGGCCCGATTCATTCTCCTGCTAGCCTGGTGCACACTGCATTGAAACGACTATATGATGGAATGGAAGTTAGTCACCTTCGGCGCCTCAAGACCTTGCGCAAGGTGCAAGCAAGATTCTGGAGACCAGGCCTCGCTAGTGCTGTTAAGGATTACGACGCAGCCTGCTTGACGTTTCAGGACGGGAAAACGTTCTGCGCAAGATTCTGCGCACGTCTTATCGCAGGCTCAAGGCGGGCTGTTCTGACTGTGTTTGTTTGTCACTGAGAGAATTCTGACTGAGACTGAAAAAAATGCTCGAGACGTAAAGCCTTTTTACCTGTTTGTTTTTTTTTTTCGTCACTTGAAAATTACTTTTGATTCAGAACAACCAATGTTAAAGGAAAAACGGATCATTCCGTCAGTCTGAGGAAGAGGCGAGTATTTTTCTGATTGTGCATTCGATTAATTTGTGAGTTGATTTCACCTTCTTTCGCCGGGCTGAATTAAAACCCGCTTGCATCCTATTATTAGTAGTTACAGTTACTTTTATTGCATGCCCAGATTTAATACTTTTGCAGAACCAGATTTATCCTTCTCTTCGGTCAAAGAACCATATTGCTAACGTATGCGAGTGAATAAAGTTGCTGGTTTAAAAATTTCTCAGAAATATAAGACCAGCAAGCTTACTCGAGAAGAAAAGACTACCTCGATCATTTCTCTGTTGCTCAAGTAATAATAGTCAGAGTGTTTTCATGTCATTTTTAATTCATACTTTTGTTTTTTAGTGTACTGTGAAAGTTTCTTTTCTTTATAAGAAATAACTTTCTGTACGCAAATTTTCCTTTTCACTCACTGTGAAGTAGAGAACGATAACTGCCGGCAGTGACTTCAAAACAATTGACCCTTTGCCCGTGAACAATTGCTGGAGCTGGACTTGACTGAAGCGAGCAAAGCAAACCCTTGTAATGATTTGCTGAGTGCAAGGTGCTTGAATGAAGACCCTCGCATGGACCAGTTATTAAAAATAGCTAAATGTCACAAATGGTGAATCATGGCTTGGCTGCGAAGCTTGTAACTGATCATTTGGTTTTAAGATCTTTAGGTGGGTTGTTTTTCTAAAGAAAATTCATTTCTTCACTGTCAGGAGGTAGGATTATGATAATTTGTAGGTTTTGCAACCTTGTTCAAGCTTTTTTTTAGTTCGCTGAATTTTGTGCATGATGGAATTGTTCTCTGCTTGTCGCATCTCTTGGTGAGCTTAAAGTGGCGTCTCTTCCTTAAAGTGAGTCAGTTGGAAATTAAATCATATACGTAACCGGAAAGCAATTTTTGCAATAATGTAACTTTAACTTTGTTTGAAGGAAATCCTACTTATGCGCAGGTTTTTGACAGGTGTTATGCATGTTCAACTTGAGAACACAAAGCAAAATTTATCTGCGAGAAACTATTAAGTTTTGACTGAAAACTATAGTTGCTTTGAAACCGATTTTTGGGAAGATTTTACTTCATAAAGATTGACTCTTTTTCTGCCCACATATCAACGCCAAAACTTCTACATTGAGGATTTTGTTTATATTTCAGTGGTCTGTGAAGCTACAATTGTCTGATCGAGGGTGGGTTTTAAAATTTCAGCTCGAGGGCGACAAGGTTCAGTGACTTCAAACACTTTGTGGGCGTACATTAATTTTTTTGGGCAAATCATTGTACAAAGATATATATATATATTTTTTGTCCACAGTGGAGCTCCAGACCTTATATATCCAAGACCTTCCTTATATGAACACATTTTGTGAATGCATCTTGAAAAAAATCGGACCTACGCATGCACATTTCAAGTACAACGCAAGAAAATTACCGTCGTTAAAGTCCGTTTTACCATAAGATATTTTTCCAGAAAATTAACTAATGAGATGGTTATAACCACAGCTTGCAACTTTAGACGAAAAATTGCTTGTACTTTTCAGGTTTTGAGTGGAAACATCTTATAATTTTTAGGCAAAAAATATTTGAAATCCCGCCATTTTTTCAAACCCGGCCAGGGGATCTGGGCAAAAAAGTTCATGCATGCTCATCACGTTTTTCCGCCCTGAAGTTTGACGTTTGTTTAGTGGAAAACAGCTTAAAAAGGCCCAGCAACGACAGAAGGATTGCTTTGACAAGGGTGTTGAAACTTGCCAATATGCACCCGGTGACTTGGTTTTCCTGTTCAATCCTCAGGTTAAGACAGGCGAAGCTGCGAAGTTTCACGGCGAAAGGAAGGGGCGTTATGAGGTTCTAGAGCGCACAATTGAGGTTAACTATCGCATAAAGACGCCAAGTGATCCCGGAAGCCGTTCGAAAGTTATTCATTTTAACAATTTAAAGCTGTACCAGTGCAAACGAGGTGAATTCACACGGGGACAGGAGAAAGGTAGTAAGGCTTGAATCACCGTTGCCATTGACACTCGAACATATGGGACGAAAGTGACGACTTACCAGCAGATCTTTTCCCCTTCCCACGAAATTCCATGGTGGTGTCTTTAACTGAGAACACCACCTTGGAGATACCAGTTGAAGAGACCACCGTTGACGTAACCACCCCCAAGCTCAAATTGCGGAGACCACCCCGCGAGCACGAAGTGGACGTAAGGCCCAACACGGCGGCTTAGACGTTACCCTCTTGCCTCATAAAGATCTGGAACAAATACAAGAGGAACCGGTGGAAACCAACGTGGACATTGAGTATGACGAAATACCCCATTAACGATTGATGACCGTTCACCCCTGTAGAGAATGAGGCGTCCCCTGGATCGCTATGGATAGTGGGAGTTCAATGCTGTAATGTCTTCAGATGTACCACTGGGAAAGAACATGGGACTTTCGGAAGGGTCATCCAGGCACAGAAGGATGGAATTCCCAGTTTAAAAGAAGATTCAGGTGTGCGGAAAGTTACCCACCTAACGAACAAAGGGGAGCAGTGGAAAACGAAAAGACACACTCTGCTGAACATTGGTGTTCAACAAACTGAACTAACTACCGACATAGACATTCGTTTTCCTATTAATTTTTTCCTTTGTCAAACCAAACACATTTAAACTCCCACTTTTTATGGGGGTTAGTTTAGGAGCTAGGGTCACGTGACCTGTAGTTTTGGCGCAAAGATACTAGTCTTGCACGTGTTGTATTTTGTGACGGTTCGTTCGGTTATTTGTAGCGTTTGGAAGTGTCTTTCATCTCTCTGTTTCTCTAAAAGAATTTGATCTTTTCCTTTAAAATCAAAGTTAGTCGGGCTTAATAACTTAAAGCTAGTTTTTGATGACTTTTCTCTCTGTACAGGATTAACACACTATGCCAAAGCGTTTAAAGTGGCCTTCGGCATGTTTCAGAATGTAACGAATGATAAGGTAGGATGCCGAAATCAGTTAACTAGTTATGTATTTTTAAATGCTACTCCATTACGAACTGTAAGTTTATGAGAGCACTGAACACCGTATATTCAAGTACTCATGCTATCAAACAGTATGGCAAATTTATACATTTTCATTTTTTTCAGAGTTCTGGGACAAGCAATATCATCTTGTTTCTCACGGATGGTGACCCGACTGATTCTGAAGATGCAATATATCAAGCAATTGAGGAAGGACAGCTCAGTATGGTTAGGCTGACTTGTTACCATGCATTTATATATGATCTGTCCATTTTTTGTTAACTGACTAGTGAGTAGCCAAACTAAGTAGAACTGTTGTTTATAGAACCATTCTGTTCAGATCAACACTTACGCTCTTGGTGCCGGCCTGTCAGCGATCAGTCTTCAACGCCTTCGAAGAATTGCTCTCAGTAATAATGGTGTATTCAATGAAATCAGAGATCAACAGGGAGGTGTGTTGAAAACAATTATGGGAAGTTACTACACATCAATTAAGACTCCTTTAGAGCAAGAACCCATGCTTTCTACGCCTCATGTAGACCCCACGCTTGGTCTGAAGGTGGTATTATCCGTAGCACTTATCCAAAATGGTACTTTTAAGGGCGTGCTGGCTCTTGATCTGCCTCTCCAGCGCCTGTTTAAAGAGATCTTTCAGCTTCCGTCCTCAACCCTGACGTATGCTGTACTTGTAGACAAAGAAGGTAATATGCTTTTTATAGTTTTAACGTAGGTTTTATTTTTGGTAACAGACTCCGTACCCAGCTCGGCTGACGTAAAAACAAAATTGTATTTATCTCTCGAATTTTCTGAAATTAAGAAGACAAATGCGTCATCCAGCGAAGATCAGTATAGCCTGCTAAGACGGGTTGTATGTATATACATGTATGCATGTATGTACGTATGTAAAACGCATAAAGTAGAGTTTCCACACACGCGGACTTTAATTTGATCCTCTTCTTTGTTTTAGCTGGTTCACTATCAATCTTTTTGTTAGTTTTGTGGTACAAGATTACAAGGTTTTGACAGGTTCGGTGGCTGGGTGAAAACTACTTAGCCCGCTGGTTTTCTGTTTTTGCCCACTTTACGGTGGGGTGCATTTGTCTCAGGTATAAATTAGCCAGCGAAGACACCTGTTGTCGAAAAACAGAAACGGAATGGGTTGTTTTTATATGTGCTACTCTCAACTGGTAAGGAAAATTCTAGCCTGGTTTACTGCTGCCTTAGGTTTAACATGACAGGCCAATTCAGCCCATGAAAGCGTTGTATTGATAGACCGGGCATACTTACGATAATGACACTTTTTTCCCAATACCCTAAAGCATATTGCTCTTTCTCTTCTAAGAGAGCCCAAATCCGAATTTCAAGGAAAAATTACAGTACCCAAACTTCATTTTGCTAAATATTCTAAAACTAATAGTACTATATGAAAAAAAAATTAGTTTCTATGTTTTATTTACTTGTCACACTACTCTATATTTCTTCAGCAAACTAAAAAGTTAGAGTTACATTGTCTCTCCTTCGTTAACTAAGGAAGGGGAAAGTTAGGATACTCTTGAAGATCGATGGTTTCACCACATTTTAAAATCACGTATTTCAGGGCGCGCTATTTTTCATCCTTCCTCTCCTGACCCAATGGATGTAACAAGCAGCCACTCGTTTTTACCGCTGACACTATTGGAACCTGCATTGCCTCCTGATTTCATATACAACCTGACATCGGGTGGGTCAGGCCAACACAAAGTTGAGGTAAATAATGTGTACTTTTCTTTTCCGTATGAGCCAGAATGTTTATATTGTTTGGTGCCTTATTATAGATAAGCGGAGATTGTGTTGAAAGCTGCGATATTACTTCAAAAAGCTCTCAAAAACACAATATGTTTACAATATGTTATACTGTCGAACAATAAAAAAGTTTACTAAAACGAGTGAATTTAGAATAATTTAAAATATCGATTTATCAATGAGATTCCGTATTCTATTAATTTTGCACAAGGTAGAAAAAAGCGAGGACACTAAAGTGTCAATATGAGTATCGAAAGTCAAACCGGAATCAAGATAGATGCCCAAATCCTTTCAGACCTTGTCAGGAGTTAAGGTTTTGCCCAGAATCGATACCGCCGGATTAACAAGTTTTCCCAGCCGCTGCTTTGTACCGAAAAGGATAAACTTTGTTTTTTCGGGATTAATTAGTTACCGATGTTGACAGAGCCCATCCACAACCCGATGGAGATCTTGAGAGACGCACGCTTGCCAATGTCAGGTCGGTATCAAACGATTTTAAGGAAAGAAACAGCTTAGTATCGTCTACGTAAGATTCAATTTCGCAATTTGAGACGATATTCCGCAAATCATTGATGTAAAGGGTGAACAATAAGAGAAAGAGAATTGATCCTTGGGGAACTCCATAACAGACAGGTAATGGTGAAAGTAGCATGCAGCCTATACGGGTTGTAGCCGATATCTTTCGGTCAAGGAACTCTCGAACCACTTTGTGGAAGACTCAGAGTTACCCAAGTCTTGTAGTTTACGAAGCAAAAGATTATGTGATAGACTTTCAAAGGCCTTACTCAAATCAATTAAGATCATGGCTGTAGTCCTTCTCTCATCTACTGCCTTGAAAACATGATCAGTGACGTGTAGGCTAATGTACGTATGAAACTTATGCTGGCTGTTGATTGCGATATTAGTGCGGCTCTTCGGTAAACTTGACTTTTGAAAGGTTACTAAAGAGTTTGTTAAATGAGTAGATCTGTTGTACTTAATTTCAGACGTCATTCTTAGTAGACATCTTAGACGTCCTCCGGTATAAATAAGGCCAATGCATGTTAGCTTCTTTATTAATAACAAAGGTTGCAACTGAAAAGCGTTGCAAAACATGGGGGGCTATAAAAGGAAAATAATTTCGAGAGTTTTTTTTCCTTTCAGGTGAGCTTTGCGTTACCACTTGGTGATCGACCAGCAGACGGGACAAAAATTCTTAAGATGAGGGCCACTTACTTGTGGTCAGCAGTAACCGGCAGTGACTATTTCATTCTCTGTGTTGTAGCTGATGAAAAGTCTCTAACGAAAGATCTTACACCAGTAAGTTGTAGTTTCCGAACACTACATATTTTATATATCGTACAAAGCTTACTATCTGGCATGTTTCTGTTACAAATAAGTAATAAGTATTCTTGGTGTCTCTGACATGGTTCGGCAGGGATATGTGTCGTATATTTTCAAGTTTTCGAAGTAGTAAATGCCCCAGCTTGCCACAAGCCTCATGCTGTCCTGTCTGTCTTGAATGCTCAACGATTGCCAAATAGTGCGTCTCTTGGCCATAAATAAAGTATGTTTTTCCTGTAAAATTGTGCTCTTCTCTAATTAACTATATTATCGATTACAATGGTAGAAAATTGCTGCACGGCGGGCGTTTCTTTTTGGTTTATTTCTTTTGCTCTATCTTGCGCTTCCACTGTCTATGTTCACTTTTAATTCACTAAATCACTGATGTTGTTGTCGGTTTATTCATAGGTTAGAAACATTTCGCAGATTGTACCCACGTTTTACCATCGTTTAGATTTATCCTGGAATTCTAGTGTATCCCATCCAAAAGAAGTCTGTAGATGGAACACAAGTCTCATTTCCCTAACGTCTTCTACAGTAAAGGCAAGTTGAATCAGACAAACTATGTTTAAAACAACATGCCTTATTCTGTGTCGATTTGCTCTTTCAACTTAGCAGCGACAGTTTTCACAAGGCGTTCGGGTAAAAGTTCAAATTTGTCACTTTGAATAATTTTCATTCTTTTCAAAAGTGTTAGCTGCCTGTACAGATGTCCGTTTGTGACATCTAGTCTCCAGTCTTGTGGTGGAAGAACTAAGTTAGATGGAAGATACACAGTATATGTGCCTATTTTCGGACACTTTTTGCATTTATTACAATAACTTACATCAGAAGGGCGGGAGCAAGCGGATAGTTTCCTAGTATGTAGTTCCTTTTCCTACGGCGACTGGCTGGTTGAACGCTCAAGGTTCAACCTCATTGTGTTTTGAAAAATATCGTAGAAGTCGGGCGGCCTATTCTCGGACAGGTAGTCCGGCCCTCATTCTCGGACGATGGTTCGTAGGTGATTAATCCTCTTCATCATGTTAATATACGTCTCATTGAAGAAGAACGAAGTAATGTTAAAAGTAAAAAACACGTTTTGTGGCTTAAAAAGCATTCTAAAGTCAGTTTTAGTGAGTCCTCCAGGAGTATTCGTCGCAGATTTTCCCCCTGTTCTTCCTCGAAAATGTGAAACAGTTGACTCGTATTAATTCTTACTTTGAAGCAAACCTTGTTCCATTTTCTCCGACTTTCTCCAAAAGGTGGTTATTTCCGTTGAGTATTTGACAAGAACAGAGTGCAGACTGAAACGATGTAATTCAATGTGCAGCGAAATGCGAACTTAGACAGAAACACATTTTACCTTCTTTCACAAGATCTCCAAATTTTCCCGTTAACGGACCGATCCCAAAAAGAGTTAGCGAAAGTAGACTAATCAATTACTCATCGGAGCCCATCTTTCTGGTTACGAAGGATTACGAAACATTAATGCTTACCGTCCGAGAATAGGTGCGTGCGAGATATCGGAACACATACTGTATTTGTTGTGCGTTGTGGATCTCGGATAGGAAAAGCAACAATTATGACCTACGAATAATGAGAATAATTGGTTTTTATGCAATGCCAAGTTTATGTATTCTACTTGTCATGCAGTGATCACGAGGCGGGATTTTACGTCTCTCAGAACTTAGGCACGTGAAGTGTATATCATATTTAGCTGCTTTAAAAGGTGGACATCACTAGTGTCATTTCCCCTTTTAACTCCTCTTCGTCGAGTCAATTTTGAATCCCTCCTCCTCCCCAACCGCCTCCTGTTGTCTCATGTTCAAGTGTTTGCCGTCGAGATAACGACGGTCTTTAATTGTTATTGTTAACAAATTTTAAAAAAGCCACACTCGTGGCAAATTTTTCCCATTTGTTGGACTGTGTGTTTCATTCGACAAACGGAGCTAGCTGACAACTTGCGATGCGCGCACAATGTTACTTTAAACAAATAATAGTAGTTATAACTGGTCAGGGCATAAATTGTCTTTCTTGGTGTTGTTTCCCCTTGGAGAGGATTGCTTTTAGTCTCTCGGCTTTGATAGGATAAGAACATCTTCAGCAGGTTATTTATTGTATTACCACTCGGTGAGGGTTGAAGGAAGATTGAGAAAGGAATGTAAACTCCCAGTGCAACGAACTATTTTCTATATGAGCTTTGGATTGCTTTGTTATGTGCTCCATTATTCTACAAACTTGTTGTTGCGCTTTTTTTGGATAATCATTGTTAACATGTTATATGTGCATAAGGCATTAGTTTGATTGCATGATTATTTTCAGTGTGTCTTACGTTATATATGTTTTTTGCTTCGCCTGTGAGGCTGATTATCCACTTTTACAGATGTTTATCTAAACGAAGTAGTCGCTAATCAAATAATCGAATTTATTTTCAGATAACACCAGATGCATTTAACGACTATGATAAATACATATACCCAACGGAAACTGTTAAGGATATCCAAAGTATACAACACTTTTTTGACGACAAAAGTTTTCAAGCTAAGTACCAAGGTTAACATTTCATTCTTACTGAGTTTTTTTTGTAGGGTTACAGGTAGCTGGGGTCTCTCTTAAAGGGGTAGGGCAGCGCAGTTGCGGAAATGAAGTGCACCATATATAGTAACTAGTAATACCGCCCTCTGTAGACAAGTTTGCAACCTTAGCATCGGCCGCTACTGAAGGACGTGGCACATCACAATCATGGACCACTCCGTACTACTAACGCCCAAAGTAATTGCTAGGTCTTGCAATTTCTATAGGCAAAAAACATAATAATGTAATTCCTTAATATCTATGGAATTGAACATTTTGATATGTTCGTAATAGGTCTTAGTGAAGCTATTCGTATAGAAGTGATGCTCACATCAGTGCTAGAGACCATTTGGCAGAAGGCAGACTTTATTTATCCGGATTTAGTTGCATGGAGGTGAGTCTGTTATGTTTTCAAATGTTTAAGAGATGTTGGATTTTGTGCATTGCTTGGCTTTCCCTTCACGTTTCGTATTAGTATTGATGGAGATAAGTAATCGAAGACAGTCATCATTTCACATGTCATAAGTTATAAATGTAGCCAACACTAAAATCGGTGTTCTTGCATAAGATGACTGTTTACTTGAAACATTTAACTGTGGGTGGATTCATTTACAGAATACGCGTAAAGCCGTTGCATTCGTGCGATGCCTGATGGTATTTGTTGTTGCTTTTAAGCCTGAAAATATTTAAAGAGAAATTACAAAGGGCCATTGATGTTTGATCCAGGTTAAACATTTCCATCCAACATTTTGCATCAGCATCACAAACAAATGTTCGATCGTTTATCCGGGGCCTTAAACCTTTGGGCATGCATTTCCCGAAAAATAAAACGCTTGTTGCTACACGATTTCCCGCCAAAAACATGACGTGCAATGGATTTGACATTTACATTGGCTTACATGCATGTTCGCACAGACGTAAGTACGCCCTACAGTTTAATTTAACCAAACCTTCTCTCATTAATACCGGAATTACCATATTTTACTTGCTATGTATTTTTGTTTAAAGCTAAAATTCTTCGGTTTAACAAATGCCCAAATTAAACTACCCATCTGGATGCATTTCTCAGTTCATGTGGTTATAAATACCCTCAATGATTTCACTCAACACCTGGTTACTCATAGGACCTTTTGTCTCTTGAACTAGGTTTATCGGAACGGAAAACGGTGTTTTGAGAATATATCCTGGACGTCGCTTTGAGAAGACTTATTCCCACAAACACCAACCATGGTGAGGGCAGACTCGAGCACAGCAATACATATCAGTGATAATAACACAATACAACTTTGTCTTTTAACTCTATATTTCACTAGTTATCGTAGCGCTGAGAAAAGATCCATTGCCGATACATATTTGTTTTCTGTAATCACCCGCCAGATCAGAGCAAGTGTACCGCAAGTTAGTCAACTGCTTTCATATGAAAGCATTATTCCCTATAGTAATGAGGAACATGCTTTTAAAATTATTTTACTGTAGATAAAGTACTGTAAGTGACAGGAGGAAAGAAACAAACGGTCAGTCACAGAAATATATCCATTCTCTCTCGATTAAAAATCTGTTTTAATTTTTTTTTGCCTTTGGCTCAGTTTTATTTTACTACAGCGAAAACGTTGTAGGCGTATTCGATAACAGAATAGACAAAAAAGCTCACCATGCATTATAATGTGATTGTGCAGGTTCAGGCAAGCAGTATCGTCACCTGATAAGCTGGTAGTGTCTATTAGGCCATCAGCGTATCAACCTGTTCCTGAATCAATTATAAGCTTAAGCAAGGCTGTCCGCACCTCCAGGTACATGTAACATGTTGATTTCGGTTGATAAGGTTAAAAATGATAGCTTAGCCTGCGTTGCAGGCGTTTCCGTTTGGTTTCGGAGTAAAGAAAGACCGAGAAACGGCCGCGCGAGAAATGAAATTAGAGCGACAAAATGACAGAGGGGGGAGGGGGAGGGGAAGGAAGGAAACGCTTACTGACAAACCCCTCGATTTTGAAAACCTACGTTCGCCAGCGAACGCAGCGCCTGATTGGCGCGGCTAGTCGAACAACATTGACATGTGTCGATTAAAGGTTTGTTTCATACTGAGAGGTCATGTATGGTACGTGAGACCAAATTAATTTTTTGTGGTGGATATTTGCCCTCCGATGCAAGAGCATTCCTCCTTGCGACTAAATAAGGGTTTCAGGTCGTTTAATTTATTCTCCAAAGTGCCCAGCTCGTTGGTGCATTTTTTCTTTGGGGGGATGTTTAAAAATTCTCTAGGATAGTGATTTACAGATCCAAATTTCAAAGAGTGGATTGCACCTTAAACTGAAGCTACATCAGCTATGGAGAACTGCATTGTGACCCAGTCGAGATTGCTGATTAAGCAATGATTACTTGGTAATAACTTTTGAATTGCGTCTCTTCTGTTATTGCTACTCTCTGATCAGGCAAGACTATGGTTTCGGTTCTCCACGCGAACTTCATTAGTTGCAGGGTTAGCTTTGTTCTTAGATGCTTAGCTTTTACAAGAGCAACTCTAGTTGTCTGTGCCGTGGCGAGAACGGTGAGCTGTTCTGTCTAGCTGATCTCTGTCCTCGTAGAAATACACGGTCACATTTTACCACTTCAAATCCAACTTTCTGGAGGTTTTGAGCTAAAACTTCAAAAAATCACCCTTGCGGTCCTTCCTTTTAGACGGATTAACAAGACAATTGTATAAAGCCTGCATTTGTTCGGATTCATTGAGATTTCACCATTAACGCCGTCCATGCGTTCCAAAATACAAAAAAATATTTTAGTTTCACATACGCGTCCTCTAAAGTTCATTTCCGCTCCTCGGAAGGCCACACATTTTATTGGTCAATGATGACAGCTGATGACAGCATCAAAAGTCGGTGCGTTAACTCAGGCATGACAGGCCAAGTGCATGGACGGTTTTCAAAGTCCCGGGGTTTGTCTGCAAGCGTTTCCTTCCTTTCTTCCTAACCCCTTCACCGCTCTTTATCTTGCGCCATTTATCGCGTTCCTCGTTCCTCGTTCTTTTCTCCTAAACCGCACGGAAACGCTTGCTACGCAGGCTAATGATAGCTCAATCATATATTACCATAACTAATTTCTGCTGAGTTTGAAATTGAGTCTGGAAAACTACAAAAACTTTTTATTTACACAATTAAATCTTTTGTTTTGGTGGAAATTCAAATGGAACAATCTTCTTCATCATGTTCTCATTTATCTTTGAGAGCAGACGCTTGTCATTGATACTGGGGTAAATCCAATTTGCAACGACGTGACAAGGCGGCTATGTCGGTTGACAAAACAATGCATTTTATTTCACAGAATTTTCTTGAAATTCAGTTTAGTTCCAGCCCTGCGGAGGGTTGTCAACCAACAAGGCCGTGACGTCAGTTGCGAATCAGCAATACATGCTATATTCTCTAAACTCTATATTCAACTCACAGCTGCACCGGAAAGCCACTAGACAATAGTCTAAGAAGAGATGTGCTGGCGGTTATTGGGATGGAGATGACCCAAAGCAGTTTCTTACAATTCATTACTGACAACGTAAGTGCATGAATTTAGGTAGTTCACTCGTATTGCGCCGTGCATTTCCTACTGCGCATGACGTTGTGACTTCAAAGGTGGCGGTGATATTCATCGGGTGACTAAAGAGAGGTAACAAAGTCTCCTTTTGTAGTCTAATATAGTGATTATAATAGCTCTTCCCGGCTAAAACAGTGTTAGTCTTGAAAATTGCTCCAGTCCCTTCGCGCTAAACGAACATTTTAAGCCGAAATTGTCCCTTTGTTGTCTTTTTACGATGAAACGAGAATGGTGACCCCGTTGTTGGTGTTTTTAACTCGTTATGGTTAAAAGAAAATTATATGTTAAAGAGAAAAAGAACTCTGGACAGAAGATCTGTCATTTTGATATGAATGATAAGAAACTCCGCATTTAGAGAGAAGTATGAGATAATGTTAAAACTGTCCATTTTTTTACACCTTTTACAGGATCCTGGTAATTTAAAGTCACTTTACATAAAAATTACAGCCCAGACAAACAAATTTGGCTTTAGTTTTTAGTAAGATTAAAAGTTTCTGCTATATGATAAGAATTTTTGGTGGCTGTAAAAGTTTCGAACATTTCGCGCGCAACCGGGAAAAAACACCAAAATGAATCTGTAGTTACCTCACAGATCGCAAAGAGTATGTTGAATGTAACGGTGTGGCCTCTGCGTATCATAAGGTTAAATGTTAAATGTGGTGTTCCACAGGGTTCTATCATGGGCCCGTTACTTTTTAATATTAATGACATCCATCTTTCATCAAGTTTACTTAAGTTTATACTATTTGCTGATGACATTAACGACTTTTTCTCAAATGCTGAAAATTTCTAATCAGTTAATGGCCAATAATCTCACAATTAACGTAAAGAAAACTACCCTCCGTGCCTTGTAATATAAGAATAAACAACGAAACTGTTGAACTTAAAACATATACTAAATTAAATTTCTTGGTGTTTATGTAGATGAGAATTTAACTTGAAAAGAACATGTTACCTTAATGCTTAATGCCAGTAAGGTCTCTAAATCTATAGATATAATAACGAAAGCGAGATTCTATCTTTCTATTCCATCGTTGCGTAACCTTATATTTTTCTCTTGTCTATCCTCATCTGAAGTATGGAACCATTGTTTGGAGATCTGCGTATAAAACTACCTTGAATAGACTTTTTGGGTTGCAGAAATGTATCATAAGAGTAATCACTAAATCCTGTGTTACAGTCTGTTGATGCACCAGTGCTCCTTTATTCTATGACCATAATCTTCTTAACATAACTAATATCTACATGCAACAGATTGGCTTGTTCATGTTTTCTTTCAAGAACTAGAATCGCCGAAAGGCGACTTTACCTGGTCTACCAAGGGGCGATTAGGGGGCAGCTGTACACACTCAGGCTACCACAAAACCTTGTCGTCCACCATTGCGTGACCTAGAATCTCATGTGAGAGTGAAACATAAACTCATTTAAACATTGTACATTTGGAAGACTTTCGTAATTATGTAATTATCAATTAGGTTGAGTGAGAGATCGAGACACGATAGAACCTAGGAAATCTGTAACCGTAAATTTATCAAAGTAAATCTGTAGACAACCATATCGAGAGTGATTATTTGTCGGAAACCCGTTCATGACAACCTAGACTATACAGAATTATTGTACTGCAAGAAAACGATACGTTAGCCACAGCAGACAGCGAGCAGCTTTTAAGAGAAAACAACCCACTATAAAACACATCAAGGTGCACGGGCCTTATTCAACCGAGACTGATAAAGATGATCAATAGACGATAATCTGTAATTTATGGTCCACATTGTGCCCCAAGATAAAAATATAAATACGTTTCAATATTCTTTCTTTTAAATTGTTATCTTCCTTCAACCTATTAAAAAAGGAATTAGTTCGTTTGCAATTTCCGACCTGGGAAATTTAAAAGATTACTTACGGTTTTTTTTTTCCATGGCTGCACTAGCCTCCCACTGAGGCGTTTTAAGGGACGAAATACGAGCTCCCCAAAAAACACCTGCGTGGGAGGCTAATTGGCTGTATGTACTTCAAAAAAAATAATGTAAATAGATCAAACGGTCGATAAGTGACTTTTTTAAACGCCAATTGAGTCAGCGTCAAAGTGCTGATGACACGAACTTCAAATTGTCTTTTGTTCAGGATATTCATCTCGAAGCTCAATAATTGACCTTTATATAGTTAAACGGTACATATACTTTATACACTTTACTTATACAGCGTACGGATTCAGAACACTTTCAGTAAGATATGGGTTATGTACATAAAAAGGTATGCATGTTAAAGCGAGTTGTGAACTTTCAAAGTTTATCGAAACTCACTGGTGCTAACATCAAACGTGCCTGATGAATTGGCGGAAAGACAGAAATTAGGAGAAGCATAATTCTCGATCACACACACATTTAATGATAGAGACACAAGCAACCGGATTTATTATGTAAACACTGATTTGCGTCATCAGTATGGAATTTCTGTTGCTGAGTCGCAGACGTTCCTCCTCGCGAAACGTCCCCAGCGGGGAAGTGTGAGGAGAAACGGATGGTTTCGCAGGCTAACCAAGGCCCAAAGTTTTGGAATACTCTTCCTACTGAACTAAAAAATGAATCTTCTAAAAGAAGTCTTAAAAAAGAAGTTACATACTAGATTTTTAGTTTTTAGTTCTGTCCTAAGTTAATTTCAATTTGTTGATTAATAATTGTTTGTGTTTATTGTTTTTCCTTCTTTATAATAATATTTAGTTATTTAATTAGAATTAATTATTGGTCTAGAATTATTAGATTCGATAATTACATACCCTAAATTAATTTCATATTGTTGATTGATAATTATACCCCTTAATTCGCTGTTGTATTTTCAACCTTTTGTAAATGGGCTTGAATCTAATTAATAAGCCACATGGTTTTCCGTTTAGGCTGCCCTGACACCTGAAATTGGTAATTTTTTTCTTGGTGGTAATCTGACAACAAATAAAATAAAAGAATAAAAAGAATTATGAGCACGTAGGGCGAAAACAAGCGCAGTGACCCCATATTATTATTGTAGTTTTTTCATGTCCTATATATGACTGTTAATTGTGCCAAGTTTGAAAAAATCTGGATAGTACATCCTTTGTGAGTGAATTACCTTAACTGATCATATTGAGTAGCGAAACATACAAAACAATCAGTACTATTTAAAGTGTGCATTGATCTTCGTAGGATATCTTAAAAACTGAAGTTTGCCTCTCAGGTTGCTTTGCAAAATGATATGAACACCACCTGGTATATTCTTGACGACAGCGGGTGAGTATAGTAAAATCATTATGCCCATCATTTGATTTTTATTATTTCTTTCTCAATCGTCGAATGATATTTTTGTCTACTTTTGCTATGTTTTTGAGACCGTGTGAATCTTCGCCATTTTCTCGAGCATAGCTGGGTTACGCTGCCGTGGGTCTCTTTTGCTCGCGATATCAATACGATTGACGTCAATGGCATTGACATCGGCAAATACACCTAATTGCCATAACGTTGTCTTAGAAAAATGAAAAAAAGAAAAAGCCAAATAGGAATTAATTTGGGATTTGCAGCATCCACGCGTGGACGTCGTATTTGCCTGTTGGAATTTGCTATTGTGTTAAAGATGAAGGACAATAAGATTGAAAATTCCAGCGGGGAAATGAAACGGCTGCAAATGAATCCACCATGAGAGTGTGGCTAAATTAGCCGAATTAATTCCTATTTGGCTTTTTCCTTTTTTCATTTTTCTATGACAACGTTTTTGCAATTGGGTGTATCTTCCAAGGCTAGCCTAGTTGTCAAGTCTTAGCCGTGAGTTCGAAGCCAATCAGAAACGAAGAAATATATATATCAGCTTTACAGCCCCGACGAAGTATGATCTTAAAACTACTCCCTCAAGACATAGCAAGAACAGCAAGATTAGAACTCGGCGGATGACATCTGCTGTTTTAGCTCGTTTTTGAAAAACGAATTATTTCGAATGAATAATAAAGCGATGAATCAATTATTGGATTCGGCTTTCGCATGATTTGAAGAATTATGCAGATCTCGGAGGGTGTTATCCGCCTCGGCCGATAACACCCCCCCCTCCATCACCATATTTCTTCAGATCATACGAAAGCCGAATCCAAGAATTGCTAACTGATATCTGACAACGGGCCCTCAGACGGGGAACAAGTAAACCAGGATTTGAGATTTCATTTTCTTTTTGCGCCAACGTATTTAACCGTGTCTAAATAAAATATGTCTATGTATATCACGAATGAGCCATTATCACTGTTATTCTCTTTTGACTTTGTAGGTACCTATTACTAAACTTTCCGAATCCCACTATATTGCAAGTCCACAAAAAACATTTAACGGAACGCATCCCTTGGTTGGCAAGAGATTTAATTCGAAGAAATATTCTCAAGGTACGATTTTGTTCAAAAAAGTTGTTTAAAAAATACATAGTTGCTTGGAAATAAAGATTCTCTGTAAACTACTTAAAGGAGACAGTCTAAGGTTCCATTCTGGCGTAATATATAAAACGGGGAGGCATTCTAGCTCTATTAACATTATCCAAAACGTAATAATGGCTAAACAGACTCAACTACTAATACTTATGTTTGGATTGGAGCTTATTAACCTCTGTATAAAATAGCATCATATTTAAAATGGAGACTTTGGGAAAAAACACTCCGGAGCCCGTCCTTCTTCTTCCCTCTATGACTTAACAAATGTATTTTCGCACTATTTGAATTGGTCGAACAGTTTGCTGTTCAATGGCTGTTGTTTCTTACAGTTAGAAGTAAATAACGGGGTGACGTTATTTTCTCCTGTTTTTATCTTTTTTATCAGTTCTCGAAGCAACCGCGTTACTTGTTATTCCATAAACATTTTTAAGTAATAGCTTTATATCTACGGGTGCCGGGAAAAGGTGTGTTGTTTATCTATAGAACCCAAAGCTTTGTCTTCGCATGAGCAGACACATGATCACACCTATTCCAACCTACCTATTCCCTTTTCACCTTTGCAATGATATCTGGAGAAAATATGTTAAAGTTAATAACATATCATATTTTCAGGTTTCCTGGTGCAATAACTATCAGCATTACACAACTGAAATGTTTTACGAACTTTTAAGTAATGGATCTTCAAATAGCACCGTCCCTTGTCGTCAGTTCTCATTAGAACCTATACCTGGAACATCTCTTTTTCTATTGGCGATACCCTCCAAGGGTAAGCATCATTGTGCAGCCCAACAGGTCAGTATGCATAATTTCAGGCAATCAGTTTGTTCTGACAGGTGATCTAGCCCACGTAGGACCTGATGTCATTCTTCCAAAGGGATTAGGTTTAGGAGAAATCGTTGGTAATCTTGATGAAAGATAAATCCCGTACAACTGTTAAAAATTTTTAAAATGAAGTTTAAAAAAGGTTTCATGGACAAACAAGGACTGTACAAAAAATATGTAATTGGTGGTTAGTAATGCGTGGCACTTGTAAAAATGGTAGGGTTGATATTGTAGAATAAGCATCAAGAAAGTAAGAGACGTTTCGTACAAAAGCCGCAGAGGGATATGCGGTGTATGACATTTGCAGACTGCAGACGGCAGACCACAGACCGCAGACCGCAGACCGCAGACTGCAGACTACAGACCGCCGACTGCAGATTGCATGAGGCAGCAAGACTGTAAGTTGAATGAAACCAAAAATATCGTAATAAAGGTGGCCTCATCATCAACATTACCTTGTTCCGAGAAGTAAGGCCTAGAAGCGAAGTTTTATTTTTCACGCAAACTACACCGACCTCGTTCCTAAAGGAGCTGTTGGCTGTTCTTTTCGTATTGAATTAGAGCAGAATAATGTCTGCCGATGTGACACACTTGTTCATGAATCCATAGCAACAGTCTAGCAATTTAGCCTATACCACAGACGAAACTAAACTATGGCTATATAAGTCTGTCTGTGAAACAGCGCCGGAATCCCTATTCTACGGGGGCCCCACCTGTGTACTGGGACTTGACTATGAGCAATGATTTGCCTATTTAGAAATTCAAAATGCACTTCTGGTAATTCGTCAAGTCCAGGTAGGATCTGTTCATTGTAGATTATTTGGCATATCCCTAATACTGCTAAGATGAAATACGTCATTTAAAAGGTGTTAAATGTCCTTGATCTATCCTACGAAGTGCTCGCAATCTAAAAACGTTTTTTACAGAGGACTATTATTTAAACAGGCATTAGTGGGCATGGCTACTTGTGATTATCAATTCACAATAATCAAAGAAGAATAAAGAATCAACGCAATTATTGATATGCCGGGTGAGTTGATAAAGGGTTGGTGAAGAATAGCCAACAGCATCTTGGGAATGAGGCCATTGTAACTTTGCGCAAAAATATCAACCTTGTTCCCAGGCTACTTTGTTACTCTCACACGATGTTATATTGTTAATCACTGCGGTCTGCAGACCGCATACACCGACGGAATGAGACTGCGGAGTTCTGTACAGCCCCCGAAATGATCCCGACCCCGAAATGATCCCCAACCCTGAAATGATCCCCAAATCGACCCCGAAATGATCCCCATTTCTCTTCACGTCGACCCCGAAATGATCCCCAATTAATTCTTGGAATGGAACTTGTATTCCCTCACGGAACTATTACAAATCTGTTGCAGCGTTTACGTTTTTAAATCGCGTTTAACATTTCGCTACAAATTGAAAACGTTACAGTCAAGAACAGTATTTTTCCTTCTTCCCTTCCCATGAGACCCCGCGCGCGCCTCAACCTAATCCCCAATCCGGTCTCTTATCGCAAAAAACACTTAAATAGTGACTGGGTACGAGTCTGAGTCACGAAGCAGCGACTGATCAAACAAAGTGAAATAGAGTTTAGTTGCGATATTTCGACTGGCCAATACCAGTCTTCATCAGGTTCATTGAGATATCACGAATTCACAGAAATATATATGAAGTAAAATTATGACGGGAAATTACATAATATGACGTGGTATGGTGGCTACTTTAAACGACAAGATAACAAAAAAATAAAAGATATACTATATATAGTTACAGTTCATCACGTTTATTGATGCCCAGAGGCTCAGTTGTCTTAGCTTTATGGATAATTTGGCTTCACGTGCTTTCCTGAAAGAATCACGCCCATTTTTAAGTTTTTCAATAGGAATCAAAAGCATATGATTGTCGGAATGATTACTGGTTAGAAAGTGTTCTGAAACTGCAGTATGGATGTAATTACCAGAAGGGTTGAGTATAGGTGAATAAGATTGATCGTACACGGTATTTGCAGTGTTTTTTTTTTTACCTTAATTAAACATTTCGCTACAGTTTATGTGATTTTTTAGCGTTTTTGTCATCTAATCGCCTTCATGTATACTTTTGCATCTTCAACATCATTTTAAGATTCTAAAATGTGTTAAAACACTATTTTTAAAATTCAATATCCAAGGCATGCAGTTTTAACATCATTTTTAGAATTTAACATCTATGCAGTTTTCTCTATAACCCGGCTATAATCACCTAAGTAATAATTTAAAAAAATGTTATGTTTCTTGATATTATCAGTTGCAGTTCATGGTGTTCCTAAAAATACACTACTTTTTTTTAATAATATTATGTTCCCGGCGTTTAATCCAGTTCAAAGTGTAGTACCAAATTAATGTGGGCAAGTGAAGATTATTAGTGAAGCTTAAGTTATATTGTTGTGCATTTTGCACGATCCATAGTTCCAGGATATCATTCTTTTCCTAAAATTAATTGGGGATCAATTCGGGGTCGACGTGAAGAGAAATGGGGATCATTTCGGGGTCGATTTGGGAATCATTTCAGGGTTGGGGATCATTTCGGGGTCGGGATCATTTCGGGGGCTGTACAGTTCAGACATCGGACATGAGACATCGGACAACGGACAACGGACAATGGGACTCGTCTTTTCGTGTTGTCGTTTTCGTTGTTTGTTCCTGAGCTTCTTCGTTATTTTACGTTGCCACCGAGTTGGAAGGTTTGTTGCTGAGAACTCGTCAAATAACTGTTGCCGTTAGTGTCGATGACAGATCATTATAAAAAAGATTTTTCGAGTTTACAGGATGTTGAGGGCGTCCTGTAATAGATATTCCACAGGAAATGCTGGAGCTCTATCTTGAGCATCATTTCACTCCAGTGCAAATTGCTCAACTGTTTTCTGTGTCGACGAAAGCGATTAGAAAACGCCTTGAGGAAGCATAGCATGCTTACATCTCATGGTGCAATTCTGCATCTGTCAGGCAGCTATGCTTTTCGACACGATGGGAACGTAAAACAACGAAGAAGCTCGTGAAAGAGTATGTATCACTTTGTCAAAATGTGTAGTGAGATAGCTTACTTCACTCTCACTCTCATCGAACTGTTCATTTACGCGGTGAAAAATGAACTCTACACTCTGGCGGAGGTCGCCATATTGCCCAGACAGTCAACTACTTCATGTTATTCCTGGGAGAATTATACCTTTTCTCGTTCCCAGGCTAGCACGGTGAAATAGGCGAAACGAAACGACGAAACGAAACATCGAAGAGATAGTCCAGTCAAATTTTGGTTTAGCATCAAACTAATTGCAACAGAATTTTTTCAACGCCATTTAATTGTTGGATGGCTTTGTAACAACATACTAAAAATCCGCCAAAATCGGTTCGGTGAAACATGAGAAAATTTTGGTAATAAAAATTTTCAACTTTCACCACAGGAAACCCAATTTTAGGAAGATCGCAAATTCAGATAAAACATTTGATAATAGTTTTTTTCCTCACGAATTTTCGATACAACATCGCCAATGTATTTTGGGTAGTTTTGGTTTAAAAAACGCCGACTAAATGTGTGAGAAACACCTGGGTCAGTGTTTTGTCTTGACGGCTTTGCACAGGTTACCCAGCCATTCGTTTGTCTTCACATTCTGTTTTCCAAACCGTAATTGTTTTCTATGACTGTATTTAAAAGGGAAATTATTAGTCAGTCTGTACTGATATGATTGAAAATATTAGTGTTTTTATTTTTGCGCAATATCAGAAATGCAGAAAGTATTTTTAGCTTTACAGGCTTGTATTTTTTTTAATATCCTGCAGCATGGAATCAAGTTTAGTAGCTGACTGATGGTGAACAGTTTGATTTGATATTTTGTTCACCTTCAGTCAGCTACTAAATTTGCATCCATGCTGCAGGATACGTGCAACTAAATGTGTGCAACGGACGATAGCTTTGTATCAGAACAAACTGTTTAACCTATTCCCATTTTCTGCAATCGAGTTTTGTGAGGTAGTTGTGTTCAAACCTTGGACACAATATGTGTGATCGAAATCAGGGATTTTCTTTTTTTTCTCACGATATGTGTAACCTCCTTTAGGATTATGACTCCACCGTACTTTACAATGTGAGTGAATAAATATCCTGCTAAGGATTCTGTCTATTTGGTTTTGGCTAGATCATAACGCTCTGCGCTTTTCACTACACCTAGCCATAGGCGTACGGGCCGGGTGGGCGAGGGGGGCTGCAGCCCCCCCAAAGTTTGGGCAACTCAGATTTTTTGGACAGCACGAGAAAATTTGGGCAAAGCCAGTTTTTAAAGACGTCTCCATGTTTTTAGTATTATTTTGAAGAGATAAATATATTCTATTTTAACCTGAAGTCGGCGTAATAATCCAGTTACATTGACACTAGAGTGTCTGCCTAGCACGTGACGAGTTTCTGGTTGTAAGGTATCATATGCTGATTTTTTTTTATTGTTGGGCACTGTACTGCAATGGGCTATTTCCACTCGTGAATTTATTAGAATAAACTTCCGCCTAACTTTCTAGAATCATCTCCGCTCGTAGAACAGTGTATGGCAGATAGCATCAGCAATGGGTCTTAAAGTGAAGAAGTGGCTGATTAATTCTCAGTTTGAATTGCGAGAAGAATCTTGATTTTTTAAAAAAGTATATCGAGCGGTTTAAAAATTATTCAATAATTTGTTAAAGTAGACTGAAATGCTTACAAAACCGCTAACAAGAGCGCCATGATACATACTAATCAAATCCTTCTTTGTCGCAATTGGCCGGAGCTATCTCCATGATCTATCAACCACGTTTTTGAAAAGATTGAAACTACTATGAGGTGAAATTGCATGTCAAAAGTGCATCGTTTTCTACAGATAACGGCCAAACATCAAGATGTTCCTTTTTTTACCGTATTTCCAACGATAAAAACTTTATCCCAAAATATCTCGATAATGCTCTTACAGATTCCGTTTTAACGTCACGAACATCGAGGCGACTATTGGAGGAAAAAGCTCCTGTGATCGATTTTAGAAGAACAGTTCCCAGAGAGAAATATTGCTGCAAGTATAATAGGTAATGGCTTCATTTCGTTGCTATAACAACTCCGATGTCATTGCAACCCTGATCACAACAAATTTTCATCTTTATCTAATACACCTGTGGTGGCAACTTTTCCAAATGTTTGTTTATGGCGACGTAGTTTATGCTCAAACTTGGCAGGTATTGACCCTGAAAAACTGTATGGAGCCATTTTCATATGCCAGGACGGCCTATCTTGTTGCATCGGTCCTCGTTTCTGTTCGACTGTTTTGTAAAAATTTGGGCAACTTGCAAAAATTTTTTTGGGCAAATGGTTTACCGCCCCCCCTGGCAAAAAATAGCCCGTACACCTATGCACCTAGCCGAAACTGTTCTAAAGAAAATCCAGAAAACCAACGCAGTGTGATTGTTCTTGTTTTTTATCTTTTTCTTGTAGCGAGGCTCAGATTTAGTTTAGTGTATCTGTGTGTTTAATTCTATTTTCTGCGGCAGCTCTTCATTTCTTGGTAAGATAAATGAGATTAATTGCTCTGTGGTCTAAAGGCATTTCTTTTCCCTCCTTGCATTTTTTTTCTGAGAACAACCCTGAACCTCGACCAGTTCCAGTTTTTTTCTTCCATTGGCAAATGAAGACCTCTTTTTTTATAACAATCATGGTATCCTAAACTTCTGAAAATAATTGCAGTGGTCAATGAAGGCGCGAAAGTACTGGACATATGTACGACATTAATGGGCTTGCCTGACTCAGCTGCTGATGGCTCACCTCTTTTTGCGGAACCTACGTTTCTCTTCGGATGAGCGTTGTGTAACACTTCAACTAACTGCATGTTAACCTTCTGACTGAGTTGTGTGAATTATGCTCTGCGTAGGGAATTTCCATTAATCCATAAACTCTTACAAGATATTTTTGTACGCATTGTTTTGGCTACCCAGAGTTAATGTTTCCCTTAAAAACCAGCTTCCCTATTATACTATTTCGTTTTCTTGAAACAAACGTTTGCTACAACCAAAGTTCTTATGCGATGAATGTTCCGTTAACCTTTATAATTTGTTTTGCGAAGGTAACAACACTTTTCCTTTAATGAAAAGGCATTTCCCTCTCATCAAATTCATAGGCATTGGAGCTTAACCTGTTCAAAAACTCTGCATTGTTGTGCGTCGTAAAGAATTAGTAAAACTATCCTCCCCTCGTCTCCAATTCACTTTTAACAAGAAGAAAATGAAAAGCTTCGAAAAAGTGGAACTTGTATATTTGATGATGTTGGTACGTACACAAAATTAATGTACAGGTAAGCGTAAAAGGCAAAGCATTATCTTGCTGGATTTTTGAAAACGTACCAAAGGAAAATTGCAGTTTTTTCCCTAAGAAAAAGACCAAAAGCCGAAGGCAAAATGAGCCCAAAAGTCCTCCTAGAAAAGAACAAGGAAAGGAAAAATAGAAAGAGCGAGGAGAAAGAAACGAGGAGAAGAAAAAAGAACGATGGCTGCACTCTTAGTTTTTATGTTGACTTCTTTGGAGATAGTTTTCTGAAAGAAAAAAAAAACCTGTTTGAGGGGAGAGTTCTGTTTGGCTGTAACGTTATTCAAAAATCTAGCTCTGATATATATTTTTCTTACCCTTGCGGCTAACAGAAATCTGATAAAAAGGATATCTTTTAAAAGCTAATAATTAAGTAACGGCTTTCATTTTTCAGATTTGAAGCCTTATGACTAAATTTATTGTTGTTTTACAGCCAACAGTTCACTCTATTACTTTGAAAGCCTCGTGTTGTTATAGGGTTCCTTGAGTGGAACATGGGCTTCCTGTGCAAAAGCCAACCGTGTTTAATATTTATCCCCTCTGGAAAAAGAAACACTCCGTTTTTAGCAGCGAAAACTAGGTAGCAGTTATTCTTTCTTCTTTCACTTTTCCATAAAAGTAACAAACACTTTTTGAGCATTTTTTGTTTAACCGTATAATTTCAACTAACGTGGGTCCCTTGTGGTACAAGCTCAAAATGTTTAACGCTTAATTTTTACATGTTCCGCCGAACGGATTTTGGCGGATTTTTAGTATCTTGCTAGATAGGCCACCCTTACTTAAATGGCGTTGAAAACAATTCTGTTGCAATTAGTTTGATGTTGAGCCTCGAAAATGCCTAGATTGACTGGACTAAGAAGTCAATGGACGTGGATAAACGGACAATCGACGACGAACATCGGACAAAGGACTTTATACATCAGACTTAAGTCTTTGGACTTCCCGAACTTAACGCCATGTTGTAGAACAAGAAAACAACTATTTCAGAGTTAGCGAAACTTTGATTAAAGTCGCTCTGTTGTAAAACCGAAGTGTTTAGCAACGCCATGGTTTGAACTACACCTCTCTTTACCTGGATAAGTTACATGCATGCAACTTAACTGCCGGCTTTTTTAACATTGATACATCCTCTTCGGTCTTTGTAGTCCTCCTCCATATCATTTATGAGTAACATTCACCTGAACCCGTAGGACTGACAAAAAGCCGGTTGGAAAAATCTTACTCATACCGGGGTTTTGCGAAAGCGTTCTTCGGCTATAAAAACGACCTTAGAGGGCGTGTAGCGGCTGACTTGGAAACAGTTGCTGATCAAACTTCGTTACGTTCAAGCCATATTTTACATAGGTATGGAAGAAATGGGTAGATACAGACAGCTGGGTGAAGGGACCAAGTGACAGTGCATAGACTCAACATAACAATAACAATATTTTATTCAAGGAATAAGATAACAAAGGGAACTACCTCTCGAAAGGGGAGATCTTGAGGTTAATCCTATATAAACGACTCTCCAAATTAAAACAGAAAAAATCCAAATCTGAAAACTAGATTCTAAGAATAGACTGCGTAAATCCTGGTTCATACTGTCGACATCAGGGAGTGTAAGCAAATACAAGGGCGACGGCAACGGGGACGTCAAAAGAAGCAATAGATTTAATAACCAAAACATACGTGCATCACACTTTTCTGTATATTTCTTAGCCGTCAATGCACGACTACAACGTAAACTTTCCAATTTGACGCTTGATAGAGCCGTTAACACTCGACGGCAAATTTTTCCTCCTTTTTTGAGACTTTGATGTGTTTTTTTGTGTGACTGTGATGCTTCCTAAAAATTCAACTCCAGAAAAACTCGCCTATATTTCACTAATTGAGTCAGAATAGCAACCTTGAATTAAAAAAAAAAGGAATGCAGTTTATAAGAGACGTTTTTGCTGCCGTCAGTATCCTTATGGCTTAGTAAACATAATGATCAAAGTAATTTCGAGTAAAATAGAAAAAAAAGAAAGATGGCGGAGGCGAATCTGCTTTATGCGTTTGGCTTTACTTTGTTAGTCTTTTATTGGCGGAGACGACAACGTCAACAAAGGCTTCAAAATAAGAAACCGTTCGCGAAAAAATAATTATTCTTTATTTTACGGTCTTTAAAGGGACCGTGACATGCTTCTGCGCATGAGCAGCATTTTGATTTCTGGTCTGGCGAACCGTTTTTCAAAGTTGGCTTTCGGTGAAGAAGTCCTCTTCCATTGACCCTGAGAGGCCTGAGAAAGCTATAACATCGGCATTAAAGAGTAGCCCGAATTTCAGGCGATTACATCGAGTCGTTTTCTCCTCTCAGCAATGTCGTTACTGAGGGAGTAAAAACGACTCGAAGTAATCGTTTCAAAATCAGGCTATATTGAAGAGCTATCTGGTCCATTTTGGAAGTTTTAACCTCCATATTTTGTATTTCCATGCAAGCGTTGTCGAGAAATTCGAGGTTATCGCGGAGAAATGTCCGAAGCCATATTTGTTGTTGTCAGTGTTGCTACTAACGGATCAAATGTGGCGTTTAATTTCGTCATCTGGCCTTCATTTCTGTCTAAAACATTCTCTAGTAAACGATCTACCTTTACCGGATAGTTCTTAAACGATAAATGTATAATGAAAGTTGAAAACTGGTTTCCTTGATACGGCCGTGGACTTACGATAAATGGGATGCAGCGGCAATATACCTGCCAACTTTTTCTGAGATATAAGCGTAAGATTTTTATCCTGGGAGTGCTGGGATTTTTGAAGACGACTCGATCATTTCCGAAGATTCCCGAAGAAGTCCGAAGTCTTCCGAAGACGTCCGAAGTCTGCCGAAGTCTGCCAAAGGCGAGCTCGCTCCCAGTACTTTTCACTTCAAAAATCAGAGATCGCGAGGAAGGTATTGCCATTTATTCATTTTACACATGGTTTTCGTTCCTTACATGGGTCTGAGTTAACATATTTTGGAAATTGTTTCAAGCAGGACGGCAACAACTCACATTTTTCAATCAGACGTGAGAAATTGGCCCGCAGGCGTGAGCCGGCGTGAGACTCACGCCTAAGGCGTGAGAGTTGGCAGGTATACGGCAAGTGAAACTGATTTTATTTAGCGACCTGACACTCGATCTTCTGCAACAGTTTAGTCTCTCGTGTCACTGAATGGAATCAGAAGGAGAAAACCCAGCAATCTTTTGTTTTACAGGAAGTCGTGTGAGGCTTAAGGAAAGAATCCATCGAACATGAAAAGTGTTAACAGGGGTTTGATTTATGACTCCAATCCTGTTGTACCCGAACAAAAGTACACTAGTAATAGTTGACACTACAGCTGCCCCCGTTCTGTATATTGTCGGTCAATAGTATTCTTGCTGGTTGTGTAGCTCTTTGAAATATACCGATTCATAATGAAGATTTTCACACATATTCCATACAATAGGTGAGATAAATACAGGAAACACAAGGTTCAATGCACAGTTTCAGCTCGATTTACACAGCTTTCTTCTCAGTTTCGAGAAAAGTTTATTCTAAACCATAATAAAAGATTTAATTAGAAGTTGAATTTTTCGCTATTTCTCTTTCCCTTTTCACGTTCAGTTCATTTTATTTGCCGAAAGTAAGCCTTAGAAATTAACTGGGCGCTTGATCGATTCACGCCAGCGCATTCTAGTCTTACTTGAAACTATATAACGGAAGGACATCTGTGAGCAGGGAATAAGTCAGCACAGAATTTGCTTGTCGGCGAATTTCTGTAAATGTCCATCAATCTGCTGGTGATAAGGTAGCCGTTGTTCACTCGTCTTGCTTGTTTGGGGCTGAGTCTTAATCCGGTCAAAGAGAAAGAAAGAGTGTCTGGCAAGGTTTCCAATATAAATCAAAGATTTGTGAACTCGTGTCTGGCAAACTCTCCAAGTGTTTATATATACACAGTTAAACGCACCTTATAACCTCTCCCGCGCTTAACGAATGTCTTTTGGTCCATAACTTTCAAAACAACTGCTCCACAGAATGTCACTGCGTAACGCAAAAGAGTATCGAAGTGTGACTGCACAATAAATGTCACAAAATCTACCTGAGCGGTCCCTTCGGGATTTTCTGTCTTTACGTCATCCTAACCATTTCGTACTTGCGGGCGCAAACAATAGAAACGTCATCATTACCTACCGATTCCTCGCGGCCCCAGTTCGAGCAAATCGAGATTTTTTCTAGTATACTGACTGTATATTTGAACTGTAAGTACTTCCTTAATAGACGCGCGAGTTACTAGGGTGCCTCCTCGGGATTTCGCCTCTGGGCGAATCCCTGCGGGGCCAACAACACCCCGTGCGATCTTCATCGATGTGGTACGCTTGAAATGTTCCTTGTATCTTTGCGGTACGAGCGTATATGTTTAAGAATTGATCTTTAAAGATAAATTGCTACCTGAATATTCTGTTTATAGTCTGATTTCTTTATGTAGGTGCTGACCACGTGGGCGGAAAACACTCTGCTCTTCTCGATAACGTTAACTTGTTTTTGTGGAACACCCGACGCAACGTGAAGGAATTTGTTCATTTGATGATGAGCAATTGAAGTTATGCTCAATTTTGCGGTTTTCTTTACTTTTATACGTTATGTAGCTACTGTTTTAAAAAAATCATTTTATGCTGAAGCGCTGTTAAAGACACATTTTCAAACACTGCTACGTTTTTCAGCTGGTAGTGTTCATGCAAAGTGCTTATCACGCTAACCGACTGCATGACTTATTCATAATGCTCATTCAGCTGGCATTTTTAGCAAAAAAAATTGCCTTATCCGATGCTGTGTGTTTTGGTTACTGGTCTGGCGCTATTTGCAGGCATTTCTAAGTTTATACAGGGTGAACTGGGGTTGCTGTTCTAGCCCAGCATCATAATCCACGGGTTTCTTGTGGTGACAGAGAGACAATCTTTCTGTCGTCATGGTGGTCCGCAGGTAGCCTTTAACCAGCTTTTAAGGTACTGTTTGCTTGTTTACTGGAAATTTTGGGGAAAATGTCGATAACAAAAAGAAATAGTTCAGTTTAATTTGAAAGGCGAACATTAAAAACAAAAAAACATTAAGTTCTGTACCTTTTGCCTTATCCGATGCTGTGTGTTTTTTTTTGCGGATTCCGACTTGTCGAGAGAAAATTATCGGTTACTGGTCTGGCGCTATTTGCAGGCATTTCTAAGTTTATACAGGGTGAACTGAGCCCGGGACAGAGAGATCAGTAAGGCTTGTTTACAAATTTCGTTTGCTGATCGGAGACAAAGGTTTGCCAGTGTGGGTACACACGTAGGTAAATGTTTGTTTCAAAGCAGAACAGGGTTGTAAATTTTATTCTCATAGGCTGCAACATATATCTGAGGAATAGCAGAGAATAAATATAAACCATGGGGATATACAAAATCGAATTAATCGCCAACGATGAATTTAAATTATGCAAATTTCCTTGCGTGCCTCTACTTCGCTTCCGACTGGTTTAGAAACAATCAGCTACTGTCACAACTCACACATGCGCAGTATCGTTGTACAGTGCCTTTAAACTCTTGCAAGGGTTTGTCGTATATGACAGGGTATTTCCGAACTCTCTCTGATAGCAGTTCTTCATTATCTGCATGTACTTCAACAGTCTACAATCGACAAGTTCGATAGTTTTTGAGGCGCTCTGATACGTTCCTTGTTATGTCGTTATATCGAATATTGTTCACACTTGTTGGTACCATAATCAACCTCAATATTAATTGAACAGAAACGTATATAAATATAAGTAATAAGTTCAGTGAGAAAACAGATGGACTTGAATTGAATTGAGTCCTGATGTTATGGCTGATGTTAAGGTAAGGGAGCTGCCCAAAAGCATTGACCAATAGTTTGCATAATTTCTGGAAACCTTTGAAATAAGGGATAGGATATGTTGATTGTATTTCGAACGTAAGATAGACTGAAAATAATATCCGTACTTGCCAAACAACACGCTTTCGTGATCTTTATGAGCCTTAAACACATTAAGTTCTAGTAGTAAATTTTGACCACGCTAAGCCTTAAATTTGACCGCAAGAAATGGAACCTTGCGACAACTTTTATCCGGTAAAAAGAAAAAGTATGCATCTGATGATCTTTCATTACTGTTTAACTTACAGGACTGTTATTGTGGGAAAGCCTGTAACGTTTGCTCTGCAGATGTGACTTTTAAGTGTCAGGTTAGTCTTGCCCACTATTTTTCTTTTAAGGAATACTGTACCAGTGATTAAAAAAGTCGAGTGATTAGTGTATTCAACATGCTGTCTAATTTGGAAATAACTGGATGGAGAAAATTCCAGTCAAAACTGAGCCAAGACGTCGGCCACTTCTGTCAAAGGGCTTTACACTGATTGCCTGTTTTTATTATTACCTAGTATTGTATTTTATCGGATTTGATTGGCTCAGACAAACTGTCTAAACTGTCCAACAGTTAAATTGGACAGTTTGCGAATTTTTGAAACCTATGTAAGTGAAACAAAAATAATCCTTAATTGGACAGTTTTATTTCTAAAAACTAAAATAGAATAGCTAAGCTTATGATATTGGATCAACTGACTTGCTAATAATTACTATTTCAGTGCCCTTGTAAATGTCAAATGTCATACGACGAATGTGAAGATTCCGTAACAAAGCTGTGGACCTCGATACCCTGTCCTTGTGAGTACGCAATAAAAAATTAAAAAAATTTTTTGCCCTCCATCATTTCTTTTTGAATCAACAGACGGATTTTATGAACAAATTTTGTAACTTTACTAGTGCCAGCATCCCCGCTGTTTGGAACAGAGGCCGAAGAGGCAGTTTTCAAGAATGCACTCGCCGCCGTACCAAGATGTGCTCGCGAATGTCTGCCAATGTACGTATATCAATGTAAATGTGAGGAATTTTTCCGTGCATCACTAGAGCGTCTATTACGGTTTGTAAGCAAGACATCCCAATAGGCGTAAGATTATTCAGGAAAAATTTAACGGCCCTCTTTCAATTAAGTGAAATTAATTCTAACTGTATTTTTAAAAATTAATCAAAGCTAGTTAATTCGATTTAATTAATTTTTCTTCTCGTACGGTGGCCAATCATAAAATATTTCTTCAAAATCATAATTAAGAGACAGTATATTCTTTGATTATGTGCCTATATTGTATAATTATACATTGCATATTTTCTTATTTTGTAAGTGAAATGTTTTTGTTCTTGAATTTCTTTTTCGAGACTTCTAGCCTCCACATTCCTGCGAAGGGGCCAAAAATTGAATGCCAGGTTTTATCGTATAAAACAACATTCAGTTTTTTCTTTTCTTCCTTTAGCTTGGACATGGATGAATGCGAAAACACTTTAGGTTGTCACTGGTGCAATTTAAATGCAAAGAAATCATGCAACTCAGAATGTAGAACAGGCGAAAGGTAAACCATAGTTAAACATGATATGTATATACGTTTACCCAGTAATAATGCATTATTTGATGCTTGGCTGTTTTACCTTATACGTCTCCACAGTCAATATAGATCCGTTGCCTATTTTATTCCGCCTCAAAATTGTTTGGGACCAATTTTCATTTACAATTGACTAAAAGCGAAAGTAATTGAACAGTGTTTATAAGTATCACAGAAGACTGAGGATACTTCTTCAAAGAATTAGCTGTAACCCTCCACACGGGGCGAATCTAATTAATAAAAAATTATGTTAATGTATGTCTCCTAGTACCTGTAGTTTCATGAACACGCTAGAGCTAATTGTTTGCTCAGTTTATCAAGCATTCAAAAAGTGCGTTGGATTCGACACATTTTTGATTAATGCCAAAGTCAATTCATTTGAGGCGACATAAGGTATTTTATTTAATGAATGAAAAGTTCGACGTTTGAAACGGGCCAGACCTCCTAAATTTTAGTATTCGTTCTTGGTTCATAACCATTGTGACTGTTAGAGTTAAGACAACCGAAATAGAGAGAGGTTCATGAAATACTGGTAAGTTGCTATAAACACGCAGACTTTTCTTTTCTTTTATTTTCAGTTTGTCGATTGCTGTCCTGTTTCCTTGCAACAATTTTCAAAATTTGTCAGCTGTTCAAAATGTCGCTGTAAAGTTCCTTTTGAAACGAAATTTACTGAATCTCGTTTCTAGTATGACCTCGCTAAGCTTGGAAGTTTTAGAACTACAAAAGGTAATGTAGCCGCAAGGGACCGCGGAAGTGATATTATTCTAGCAGTAGCCCTGACCATCAACAACAGCACAATTAGGTATATTTATTGCCACATTAGTCGCAATCGTAGAATACAAAAATTAAACGAGACTTACCTGTAAGTTGAAGTTTGATTGAAATTCTGTCACGTGACGTGAGGAGGGGAAGATCACATGAGATAGTACAGCGCACGCGCCAAGTCATTCTTCAAAATGTGTGGGTGTGAAGGGGACATAGAGTACCAAATAAAGCCCAAATTCACGCAAAGGTATTTGGCGCTCAGAAGTAATGTTCCATGGGAGGGAACAAAAGGGTTCGGGCATGTGATCTCCTCCCTCCTCACGTCACGTGATAGAATCTCAATCTTACGTCAAATTTCGTCTCGTGCAATTTTCCTGTCCTATCACGTGACTACAGGAGACAGGTGATCCCATGAGACTTTAAAGCCTTGAACACCCACAACAGGCAACAGTGTATTCATAAAAGTTTCACTTTATCACAGTAATATATATAAATCCTGAAATAACAAAGAGTTGTTCAAAGATAGCAATACGATATCCTGGCCTGTGATACCGCACAAATATTTGCATAAAAAGAAACCTATTCTCGTATAAACATAAACCTTACTTACTAACCTTCCTAGACTTCCTTATTTAGATACAATTCTTTCAACAGCTGTTTCAACAGTTGGCTGGCGCTCAGCTGAAACCTTTCAAAAGTTTTATGATAAACCAGTCTGGGACAACACCACAATGGTCTCGCGGTTATACTGTCCACCTATTTTCTGTGCAGAACAAAACTTCTGAAAGGTTTCAGCTGAGCGCCAGCCAACTGTTGAAAGAATTGTATCTAAACGTACATCTTTCTCTTTGGCCTTGAAGGCTGAAGCCACTCTAGTGCTATGTGCAGAAAATTTTGTTGAATCATTTCCAGATCTTTGAAGTACAGATCTGGTTTCCAGGAGCAGTATGTGTCAAATTTATTATTGATCCTTGTTGCAAACAGTTCTATGTTAAGCCCAGGATATTCTGATAAAATGTCTTTTAAAGCCCAATCATATTTGTCAGAAAAGTTGCGTGATTGCTAATCTACACCTACATTTGACTTCGCAGGAGTGTGAACTGCTGTAAGCCAGTTGTCACGTTTGATAGCCCATTCCAAAATTTCTGGGGCTCAACTATCCACTTCGATGGATTTGTCGCCCCTCATGTTATCAACATAGGCCACAGTGGTAGTTTTTGACATGGGCCCCAAATGACTGGAGGGCAAATAATGCTGCGCTTGTAACTCTAGCAGGTTTGTGTCGAGATGATTCACAGGGGGTCCACCTTCCTCCAATTTCTGACCCTTCAAACCCTGTCACCCACCCCTTTTTGGATGCATCTGATTGGATAATCATATGGGGTGTAGATTGCAGTTTGCTTGTTTTGACATAAGGTATATTTGCAATCCACCAGTTATTCGTTAAAAGATGGAGGATGATAACATCCTAGGTACTTGGACTATCACTGGCACTAAGGGCCTTGGTTTGTCATGCTTCAGTGTAGTAGGCCAATTTGAGCTCCGTGAAGATTTGATATTATAATGCCAATTAGCCTGGCCACCTCTAAAATTTAAGTTCTTCCTTTAGAAAGGAACTGCCGACAGGCCTGAACTGTCTTTTCTACCATTTCAGGAGTGGGGTATACTGTCATTTCTACCGACCTCAAAACGAATCCCGGAAAAGTCAAAATCTGGGTAGTAATGGACACAGATTTTAAGGGATGGAGATAAAACCACAATTTAGTAAATAAAAATGCGGTGTTCATGACATTGCGTCTGCATTCTTCACTCGTGTCTCCTTGCAAATTGGAGTCATCAATATAACCTAGGCTCAGATGGCCCTGATTATGTGGACTTGAATAAACAGGCTTTAGTAACTACGTAAAAATGCGAGGCGCACTGGAAAGACCATTAGGTAAGCAAGTCTATTGGTAGAGGGTGCCATTAGACACCATAGACATTTCAAGTATTTCTGGTGCTCAGGGTGTATTGGTACTGTGTAAGAGGCACCCTTTAGGTCCACAGATGCCATGTAGCACCCAGGTTTCATCATCCTTATTACGATCTCTGACGTGTCCATTTTGAAATGATGGTGCGCTACAAACTCATTTCATTGTTTTAAATTAGGGATCATTCGAAAAGATCAATCACTCTAAACCTTAAAAAAAATAAATTCACCTGGTCCAGTACCAGATTCCTTGATAGTTCAAGGATATGATGTTGCTGGGCACTGAATACACTTGGCTGGGAAGTTCCCTGGCTAGGGGAAATCCCTCCCATAAATGAAAATTGACCCCACGCACGTATTGTGGTATATTTCGGTCAGACATAATATCACACCACGAGGGTAGAAACTCTTTCAGTTTTTCCTCTTGAAAGGTAGTAAGAGTGTACATAAATTTACCAAAATCATATTAACATACCTCTGAAGTTACTGTTTGGCTGCCCTATCCTTTTTGAGCCGAAAAATCACTAAAAATTGTTACAAAAAAATCGACAGAAAATCACGTCCAGTGCATATTTTATGGGCTAAAACGGCTGTTTTGATTCCCAAAGTACCTTCGACCACTAACATTATTATAGTGGTTGCTGTGGCAAGAACTCGTCTAACACTTTCTTGGTAGGCCTTTTGGCGTCAGTGATGTCTTTTGTCAGTTTGGACTGGTCGCCGAAAAGAACTTCCGAGGACGGAAGACACGTGTGTTCTTGCGGCGCAAAAATGCACAAATGTACGTTGCTTTAACTGCGTTAAAGCTCCACTGGGAATCCTTAACGTTTATATTTAGGTGAAGTACGTTGACTTGTCAAGTGAATGCGAAGCTTCCTATGTAAGTCTCTTGTGATTCCCTGGCTATTTCGCAAAGTTTCTGTGTGACACTTACGAAGACAACCTAGCTTTCCAGCGCAAACTGTGTAATGACCTGGCGTGTTCGCTGTGCTATCTCATGGTTTCTCCTTTCCCCTGTAGTCACGTGATAGAATCTGAATTTAGAGCTTGTGTTTGTGTCGCATAAAAATAACAACAAATATGGCAATCTTCCATTTATACATTTACTCTGACTCCCTCCCCCAATTTCTCATTCATAAGCTCGATAACCTATTTGCGTATATTTGAGCCAGTAAAAGTTGTGATTACTGCACGTACTATACGTTGCTGCTGGTCATCCTTACTTTCTTGCTTCCTAAGTTTGCCTTGTAAGGAATAAAACGTCATTCTGTTATACAATAGGATGGAATACTACTCAAGTTGTTTGCAACCAGCGTAAGTAGTGATCTCAAAGGAATGCAACAAAATATTCAATGGTTGGCAAGGCAAGGTAAAATAAGGCTTGGATCTGATTCGGATCTACCTCAAGTTTACATTGCTAAGAGTCCAAAGGACTTCACGGAGTGAGTAGTAGTGCACTCTTGTTGATCTACATTACAAACTATTCAGGGGCCATTTGAAACAATAGCTTTGATGGTTGCTGCATAGGTTCAAGTAAAAGCTAGACTTAATTAATAAATTGAAATCAGAATCAGCTTCAGCCTGAAAATTTTTCACACTTAACTTTAGACCTTTTTACAAGTGTCGCTTATATTTTTCATTCGCGTGCATGATCAATCATGATCAATATGACGCCTACTTGAACAGAAATATAAGTTATAAACTGAAGGCAGTCATGTTTACTATCGTGGCTTTATTGCTTGTGTTTAGTACATCTAACCTCCCTAATAAACCCCGTTTTTTTCAACCTTTGACGAGAACGAGTTAGCTAGACGTTTGTTTGGTGGCCCCACCATACAGACGTCTGTAAAATTTCTCCTCTTTGCGTGGAGCATTGTCTTCTATCTATTCAGACTCCACTCGAGCAACAGTCTCGATGGATATTCCCTATCTGGTTCTTATCAAACTACAAAAATCCTCGGAAGGGTCTATTGCAAACAGTTACAACAACAAACATAATTTCAATACTTTTCCGTTATCCTTAGTTCTTCGGCAATTGTCTTCCTCTACAAGAACACAAATCCGCCCTAGTATAACTATTATATAGCATCCAGAATTACTGAACAGAGTAATTAAAAACGAAATCTACCGTAACTGGCTAGTGCCTATATGGCTGTAGAAATGTTATAAGTAATTTATATATTCATTATGACCCGGTGTAAGGTCGAGATGGTAATTTATGTTACTCAACATAACTTGTTACAATGAGTGCCTGTTCGTTTCCGCCCCCTAAAACTGGCTTTTATCTCTTTAATTGCGTCCTTTCGAGTCTTAATCAAGTCAGTGTACTTTATTACGTGACTTCCGTTTAATTTCTATCTTGTTAGTTTGATCATTTGCTTAACACTGGACAGTGGTCTTCCAGAGGAATCCCTTGCTATGAGTTACAACATTGAGTCTGAACTGCAGTATACTCTGAACGTGTTGCTGGGAAAATCACTGGTAACACGAATCCGTCGATTACATTTTAACAAGGTAAGATAAATCAGACATTTTTTTCTTTTTTGTTTATTTCTTAAAATATTTGAAAAGAAACCAATTTGTAACTCTTTTTTAATTAGGTAACAGAAACGAGTTCAGTAAATATATTGATAAAAAATCGTCTGTTTTGGCATTTCCCGCTTGCTACAGTTTTGTATTTTGTAACGTCATTTGGTTGCCGCCTTTGTTACAAACGTGAAGGGTGATTCTTCACAATAGTGGCATCCAGTGATGTCATGCTAATTTGAAATATTTGCGTTCAGGAAAAAATAGAAGAAGAAAGTAAAAGTAACCTTACTGTTCGCCTGAGATGAGTAACAGAGGCTAATAAACGGTCTTTCTCCGGTTTTAGACATCAGTTACGTTCTCTTTGAGTAACGAGGGTTACACACACTTGTATCCAATGGAGGCATTTAAAGAAAGACTCAAAAGAGCTGTTAGATTGGGCGAGCTATCGCTCCACATTCCCCTTGCCGAGGGGAAAACTACAAAAAAGAACCTGACCGTCATTAACATCTCCGCACGTGGAACGTTCGATTTTCTATGTTATCCATGCATACTAGCTACAACAAAAGAGGCATTTCAAACTTCCTTGCAGACAACAACGCATGGTGGTAGTGATGGTACAATGGGGGCAATAACAGGTGAGGTGTAGTCGAGTCTGCCTAATATGTGTGATGTCAGTGTATCCTATAAAACCAAAATAGGATAACAGTTGGCACTACGGACCCGAGAAGAAACAAACAGGATAATCTCTTTTGTACAAACAGCTGAGACCTTTCATAGAGCGTTTTTACACGACGTCACGACGGCCATATTGGTGTTACAAACAAATCCTGTAAAAATTGAACTTGTTTTTTATGTAAAGGTCTTCTCTTTTTTGTTCCAATAAATTTGAATAGATGCTGGCCACGTGACTGCAAACTGCCCGTTCTTGTAATTTAGCAACACCTTACACCAGAAAAAAATGGGTAGTTTGACCAGTTGAGGTATCGCGTAAAACGTTTACCCATATATGTATACGTTACTTTTTCGTTTCGTTCTTGTAATGTTTAATCTTCGTTGACAATGATTAATGGAGTGGCAGAAACAACCAACTTAATTTGTCGTCTATTTATCCTTTAGCGAAAAGTACTTTCAACAACCCGTCAGAGAAGGACAGGGAATTAAAGCCAGGCCTTACCCCAGTAGAGATAGGAGTGATTGTCATAATCTCTATACTTGCTTCTTCCTTGCCTTGTATTCTGTGTCTGCTGCTTACAAGAAAAAGACAAAAGAAAGAACGCGTTACTCCTCAGCAAGACCTTGACGAAGATTTGTCATCTGAAATATCTCGGCTATCAGAAATTGACGCTGATTGCAACATTATTGTCAATCGCGCGTACTTACTGCAAGAAGAGTCCAGAGCATATTGTCCACCGAAGAAGGCCTGGGTCAGAGCGAAGGAACTTGCAATATCTAATCATGTCCCAGAAGGAGCATGGTTTTAACGCCCATGTTAACGCCCAAAATACATGGGGATCCCCACCGATGCATTTTGGTCCTATCTTAACAATCCTTGATCGATCAAACATCGAGCCATCAGATAATCTCCGTAATAAAAATAGTAATAATAATTAATATATAGATTTAGCCAGGGCTAAAAGCGAAGCTCCCATTAATAAAATTATAATTTAAATCAGACAATAAACTTGTATTCCACAATTCATTTTTCTGACCGGGATTGTATTTACCTGCAATGCTGCAGTAGGGTTCGATGACTTTCCCCCGGTTACTCGGTACAGGTAGACCTCATCGGTTGCCTGTACTTTCCACCTTCGTTTGGCATTGTATCCCATCCTCGTCGCCAATATAATAGATCAACTTGTCAACAACTTGGTGTGCATGTCCGCCATGCTTTCAATGACCTAAGCAACCGAGCCTTACATTGTCCCAGAGTTCCTAGCGTGTTTAATTAGTGGCCCGTATGAGCCGCCTGCGATACTACAATAGAGAACTACCAATTTTTTCGAGAAGGGATACGAAAGTTGTGGAAGCTGAAGAAAGTGACGGTTGTGCCAATTGTGATTGGGGCTAAAAGCTATGTCCGATACTTTGAGAAAGACGCGGGAACGCTTAACGTTACTATGAGACTTGAGGTGATCCAAAAAGCGGCTCTGTTGGTAACAGCTGGCTTATTACGGAACGTTTTGGCTATTTAGGGACGCAAATGTAAGGACTCCTTTAGGACAGAACATATTTCAGATCAATTAAAAAAAAAAAAAACTTGAGCCTGCGAGCATTAGAAAACTAGTAACTTGTCAGTGGATAATTTCCAAAAAATACTTGACCTCGATGGGTCGACACCTGTGCCCGCGATACGGTCAAGTGATACTTGTCAGCGGATACCTTGGTTTGACAGCCGTCAATTGATCACAACATTGATGTCCAATCATATGTGTGCATTATCATTTCCTGTGCTCCCAAACAAGCTAGAAAGTATGAGATTGAACATTGATCGCGATCTAGTAAAACAATTAACTGGTCAGCGGGCAGCTTCCAAATAAATCACGTCACCTCGATGAGTTGACACTTGAGCCCGCGATATGGTCATTTGATACTGATCAGTGGCTATCCTGTTTTGACAGCTGTCAATTGACCATATTGTGAATGTCCAATGTAAAAGATGTAGATTTACTAAGACACGCCTGAGACAACCCTCCCTTCCTTTTGATAGTCTCCCCTACCCACCCGTGGAATCTGTAGACGCGTACGCAGGGGAGGGGAAGAGACGAGGTCTGGGACTGAGAAACGATGTTCTCACAACTTGCAAAGCGGTCACTCAGCGTGGTGGTCGGCGGATAATTACAGTATTTTTCCCACAGTAAAATAATATTTTCAGACTTTTTAGAAGCAAGAAGCGAACCGACGGAGGAAATCAGAAATGCTTAAAAAATCTAAAAAAATCATATCATGCATCTTTGTTTTTCTTGCTTATCGTATTTGTCTTTCGGTACTGAAATGCGGGGGAAACTAAAACGCAACCGTACTAGATCTTAACCAACAACAACGCACTCGATGGATTTATTTATAGGTTACATCGTTTTTGCCGGGCAAGGATAACTTGACGCTGATAAAAATTACTGGAGGAAGCGTCAAATTTATCGGAAGCAAGTATATTCAAGAGGGCTTTATAAAATGAGCTTACTGCTCTATATATCATTGCTGAATAAAAATTAACACTTCATAACATTTCACTTCGTTTATTTCGATCAGTCAACACCTTAAATCCAAAACGATCCTAAAACAAATCACAACTACTACTGAAATCTCTGTACCTTGAAGCGACTTTAACTTTCCTAAGGTTTGCAGCAAAACACTGCTCGATAGCTCTGACAACTCTTCGGCGGTTCTTAGCAGCTATACGGGGCTATATGTTGCATATTCCAAACTCTGCAAAGGGAAATTGTTTAACAGAAAAAGAAAACCACACACTATGTCTGAAAAGCGACATAAAATCAATAAATTTGCGAATTACCAAAATATAATAGTGAGAAACAGTCCCGCCTTCGACTGCCATGTTTTTGTTTTTTCTCAAGACCGTTGATCTGTGGTTTTTGACTTAATGCGCATGATCAGTACACAAATCCGCTGGCAAGACCTTTGCTGATCGTTTGGAAAACATCGTTTGGATTTCATTTAAGAGAATGTATGGGAAGTAGCTTCCCCCCCCCTGCGCGTACGTATGTATGTACGTACGTACGTACGCTCGGTCAATCACGTGACAACCAAACGAAAAGAGGTTGACCATATTCTACGAGTATGTGGATCTGTCCCACGCGCGCTTCGCACGCGTGACAGCCCCACTTATAAGAATAATAATAATAATAAGTAGTAGAAGAAGAAGAAGAATAGGAAGAAGAAGAACAAGAGAAGAAAAAGAAGAAACAGTATATAGAGCTAATTCCGTAAAGTTCATTAGCGCTTCACACTAAAAAGAGGAATTGTTAAAAATAAATGATTAAAATAAGCAATAATAAATTTACATGTTAAAAAGCTTTCCTAAATGAATATATTATAAGTTCTTTCTTAAAAGAAGATATGGAAAATTTCAAATGGTCTCCGAGTTTATCTGGCAGTGTATTCCAGAGAATGGGTGCTGCAACTGAGAAGACTCTAAGACAATGAATTTTTAGGTAAGACTGCGGATTGGCGTATACGGGTGAATTAAAGCCTTAAGATAAGCAGGGGCAGTGTCATTGAATAGTCATTAGTAGGATTTTACACTGGATCCTGAACTCAACGGGGAACCCATAAAACTGTTTTAACAGAGGTTTGATGTGTTCCTGCTACTTGGTTAATAGCCTGGCCGCTGAGGTTTGAACGCTTTGAAGGTATTGTATCAGTTGATTAGAAACATCGTCAAGAGTTGAATTGCAGAAATCCTTTTTTGAGGTCACAAGGGAATGAATTAAGGTCTCTGCTGCTTCTGCTGGCAAGTGTTTTGGTATTCGAGCTATGTTCCTTAGATGGAAGAAGGAAAATTTCCTTAACATGTTCTTTCATAGACAATGACAATAGTAACTGAGGCAAAAGGCGGTGGTGGGTGATGTTTCGCGTTAAGAATTAAAAGCTCAGTCTTACTTCTGTTCAATTTAAAGCATATGCAGGCTTCGATCCTCGTTTTTGCCAGTTCCGCTCATGAAGACAGGTAGACCTGGGTTTCATCGGCGTAAAAATGGAGCCTCGGATCGTGTATAACGTCTGCTAGTGGTGCTTTATACATCAGAAATAGCGCAGGGCCAAGAATGGAACCTTGTGGACCTCGTAGGGTAGATCACGATGCCAGGATGTGGCCCCATTGACACATACATGTGGCCCCACTCAGATAGATGCGAGGAAAACCAGTTGAGCGCTGTACTTTTAATACCAACTCTCTGAGAGAGTCGAGTCAACAGAAGGGCGTGGTCCACGGTGTCGAATTCTGCGGATAGGTTTAATGGTAGTAGTAGTATAACAGACTGTTGGCCATCTAAGGCACGAGGCACTTCATTTTGGACTTTTACTAATGCCTTTTCCGTACTGTAGTTGGCTTTATAAGCAGATTCAACAGCTCATCCATATTATTCTCTTCCATGTAATTACTTAGTTCAGTGGAAACAGTCTTTTCGATAGCTTTTGATAGAAATACAAAATATGGTGGAAACCAGAATACTCTTTATGGTAAAGGGACGGTCTGAGAGCAGTAATCTTAAATGTAGCTGGCTGACACTGCTAGATAGTAATAGGGTTAACGATCCTTGTTATGGTGGGGAGAAGCACGTAAATACAGTGTTTTAGGACAGAAGCTGGAACTGGATCAATGTCATGATTTTAACTCGTACGAGATTTTTTTTATCATGAATCTAGCGAGCTCAACATCAGTAACTGGAACGAAGTACAGTGGAAACTCGATTTAATGAACCTGTACATATCGAAGTCCTTGATATAACGAACGATTTTCGTTACCCCAATAATAGTAAAATATATGAAAAAGAACCTCGTTATAGCGAACAATTTTTTCAGTCCCTTGGCCCATCGTTAAATCGAGGTTCCACTGTAGGTTTCAATCATAGAATCAGATATTGAAGACACAGGTGTTAGCTCATCCCTAATTTTTGTGATTTTGTTGGTAAAGAAATCGGCTGAGGCGTTAGCTAGTGTGTTTGGAGACTCACTAGAAGGACACATTTTACCTGGTGTTCTGTAGTGCATTTTGTTTACCAGTAGTATTAAAACGGTACTTTTTCATCATTCTTGTGTTAATCGATCACATTAGACTAGAGGGACATTTTGGACTTTGAGATTTCGGAATTAAAGCGCTACAAAGTTAAGTACTTTAAGAGAAACTCGTTACCCCCTTGCCCTTGCCCCAACATCTGGCCGGGAATATATAGAAACAAACACGCTCACAGGGGGGATATGGGGGACTGAGCGGCCAATCTGAAACTTTTGTTCACGTCTTTTGTGAGTGCAACCTTGCCACCGCCGTTTGATCGTGGGTTTTTCCTCTATTCGCACTCGTTCAGCTTTTCGCTCGCTGTTTAGCTCTCTTTCAATACGGCTACCTCAGAGGCGCCAGTCACTAACGCTCTAACACGGTAAGCCGCCTTTTCTACAACTTCGCCTTCAAGGAACTCTGTTAGACTAGAAATCTGGCTAAACATTAATAAAATTAAACACCGTGTGGGCGTGTGTTTCCGCGCTGCTTACAATTATAACCAATTATTATTGCGGAACACGCGCTCGCGTGCTCAGCTTGCTTATGATTCAAAGAAGAACAAGTAATAAAACCAAGCGTACCACTTTAGATATCCAACCGAAATACACATATGTTAAGTAACGTTTGTCAGTTTGGTAGAAAAAAATTTAGCGGAGCTAAGTCGCAGCCTAAGGCTCGACAGAGACTGATACCCCGTTTGGGAAGAAAGTTTGCTAAGCCTATCGATGCGAGAGGTTTAAGTGACTTCAG